CATGCACCCGCACTGCGCTCCCCGGAGCGCCTCCGTGCCAGGCACCCTCCCCCTGGCCCCTCTGAGGCGCCCTCCCCTGCTGCCCCTGGGGAGCGCCGGGTGTCCCCTGCCTGCCCCTTTGGTACTCGCTGCAAGACAGGAATGACTGTCCTGCAGCACATCCCGTTCTTCATCTGAAATGTGGGACTTGTTGGGTTTTCGTTACCACGTGCGAGGCAGTTAATTTTATGACTTGTTGCGTTTGTGGCACTGTTCTCATACTCGTTTTTATGATTTTCCTTTATGCTCTAAGTTAATAAGTAACTGGTGATGTCACCCACTCTGGTTTCTGCTTAATAAAAACCCGGTAACCTTTATTCACAAGGCACGCTTTAAGAGACTTGAAACGGTTGCTTGCATGAGACAGAGCTAGGACCTGGATCACAGAGAGGGCTAATTTAGGTGTAAATTGGAAATTGGAGTTAGGTTTTATTTCTCCTAATTTTATAAAAAAATATTCTGCACGTGTGCAACATAGCAATAGTGAGGTTCTAAGCAGGGCTCTTCATCTACTTGTTTTCTCTCTCTGATGGGGGGAAAAAGAGACAATGGGGCTATGGTAAAGACAGTGTGTCTAGATCCAGCTTTGTAGCTTTTTCCTTGCTTTCTCAGTCTCTGACTAGTAAATAATTTATAGACTTCACTGTTGTGAGAATTGATATCTTCTCTTATTCTCCTTGCTCTCTTCTAGCTGTTGTAAAAGAGACAGCAATGTTCCCTCATACAGAATTTTTTTCCTTGGGATCTTAGGTTGCTTGCCTAAAACTGACTTTCATTACTAATTCTGTAGTAATGCTGATGGATAATGATTAACAGACAGCACTGGTTAGCTATGCCTGATTTACACTTAGATATTTTTCTTTGTGTGTATAAACACTAAAAGACTTCAATATTTTTTGAGTGAACTCAAAAAAATTTTGCAGAACTCTCCTGCTTGCACATTTTGTGCTCATCAGCAGCCCAATAAATTGCTGATGTACTCTGATGTGGTCTGAAGGCTAAAAGGAATGCTAAGAGAGGTTTTCACTGGTCTGCTGTTTTTCATAAAGAAATGGAAGATTCAGAAAAAAAGTGCTGAGGAGACAGGAGACTGTATTTGAAAGTGAGTTAAATGAGCAGGACTTGGCAGATGGGGAGAAATCTGACACATCCAAAGCAGAGCTAGACTTGAAGAAGATGCCTCATCCTGGAGGAGATGATTAATATGCAGTTCCTCTTGGCAGACACCCCTCATGACAGCCAAATTTTGCAACCGTGTTTTAGGCCAGTGTTACCTCCTGGTCAGAAAGAGCAGAGTGTGGTAGCCTTTAAGGATCACAGTGCAATGCTAAGAGGAGTCAGGATTGGAAGTCCTGGGACAAACTGAATTCCTCCATGTGGAATAAAGACAAAGGAGTAATACACAAGGCAATCTCTCCTGAAAGAAAGACCAAGTGTCTTTTTTTTTTTTTTTCCAAAGCCCACCAGTGGCCAAAGCTTTTCTACAAAAAATGGCATATTTTAGGGTGAACCAAAAAATAAAATCCTGAAGAAGTAGCACCATGTAGAGATTAAATTTTAATCTCTTGCTTGTTGCTGGTACTAATAGCACTGCAGTTATGTTCAGCATTAATAGTTCCCTATTTCTACATGTCCTGGATTAATGAACAGAATTATCACTCTTCTGTAGATGTAAAAGCTGATAGGTGATGCCTTTTAAGCACACTTGCTTAATAGTAGGGCAGAGACAGCTTAAAATAACTATTAGATATGTTCTGTTTCTACAGTAAAACTATAGGCTGCATTTTGATCATTATTTAATTTGATGTATTTTATGCAATTGAAGCGTCAGTCACAGGGTTTATGAAAGCAAGAACTGCATTTATGAGGCTTACACATTTAAACATCTTTTTTTCTGAAAAGATGAAAAGTGTAGGACGACAAACTAGAAAGAAAGTGGTGTCATCTCACTGAATTTGTTTACGTGTTACCAAATAAACACCCATTTCATTTAATTATGCTGTATTTGAATAAATGAGACAGTTGTCTGAGATGAGAATATTTGAGAAGCTCCCATATGTAGGGATTCTGTGTGGGAGCAAAATTGCCAAAAACATTTTAGTTTTGAAATAACCGAAAGCATATACCAGAATGAACACATTTCTCCATTCTGTGGCCTTTGAGAACACAAACTGAGAGAAAGGCAATTTGAAAGAAAATGAAGCTTTGCTGAAATTCACAGCTTGCAGCACCGGCCACTGAAACAAGGAAAACTGGAATTCACTCCTGATTGAGTTCTTATAAATGATGGAACTGATGTGGATCTGGTACAGTGTTTCAAGTCAATGTCTTGATTTACTAGGACTGAAGGAAAAATATGCTGCCCTGATCAGGTGTTGACAGAAAAATTCTAACTGCTAACTTGTTTTTTCCCCACTAGATTTGTCACACCAGTTCTACTTGCCACTGTCTCAGTTTTCAGTATCAAAAACCTTAATTCTTTCTGATTTAGGAAATCTGTCTCAAAAGAAAACATACAGGAGAGGAAAATCAGCACTCAGAGAAATGCGTGTTTTTGGCATGGTGAACCCACACATAAATTTTCTGGATCAGCCAACTCATGAAACCCACAATCTGCAGCCAAAGTAGACATGTTACCCCCTTGAGCCAGCTCTGAGTCTTTAAATTCAAAGTTTGTTTTGGCACAGTGCTTGAACGCTATCACAATAATATGCACAATGGACATTGCAATAGATTTCTTTAACTAGAGCCCAGATATCAATGCAGACGGAAATGTTCATACCCTCTTTCAGCCTAAAGCATTTTCCAGATAGGAATTAATTTATAATGAAAACTATGATAGTCTTAATTTTTAGAAGATAAATGATTTCTAATTAGCTACAATAATTTGAAATTTTATAGCTCTTTTCTCTATGGATATCAAAACACTTTGCTAAGATGGGTAAGTATTATTATCTCATTTTTCACAGGAGATAACTGAGACAGCCAGAGGTGAAATGGCTGATACAAATTGTACACGTCATTACTGGGTTTGGAATTAGAATTCAGGTCTCTGAACACTCTGCTATATATTTATGCAAATAGTCTACAACTATTTCTTCAACTTCAGTGATATCAGTTTTGGTACCCCATTAAAAACTCATGAATTTCATTTAAATATATTGAGATATATTGCAATTGTTTTCATCTGTTTTCTAAATGTAAAAGTTTCTGAATGTCTATTTTCAAGTTTTTGTCAGCACTGCTGAGGGATAAAAGCTCATTCGTAATTTTTAAGTGAGATTATGCAGGAAAGTCAGACTCTGGCACAGACTCAGAATCCTTGGATGAAGATTGGATATCTAATGACAAGAATGACATATCTACCATATTCTTTGTCCTCACTGACCTTCTATAGGATGTCATTATCTTTGGGCATTTTGCCTTTCCTGAAATATCTGAAAAGTCTGAAATTCCTCTAAGTGTCTTTTCCCAAATGGATTCTGACCCAAACCCAGAAACAGGAAATGCATATTTAGGAACTTTTCCTTGTTATCAGTCATGCTTACAAAAGAGAAATCTGCTTGCATCCTGCCTATATTTCATATTCTGAATATTTAGGTTTCTTTATGTTCAACTTCTGAATTTTCTGATTTCTGATAGCTCATAACTGTAATATCTGTAAAAAAATTGCTCCAATGTTCATTTTAAGGTGTTTTATTTGAAAATGGAGAACACCTTTGAAATCAGAAGGTAGAACAAAATTAGAATAAGAGCAATCCTTACGCTTTTCTTGCTTCTTTCTGAGACTTTTCTAAAAATGGTCAATGTTTTAGGTTTTTATATGAAAAATTTGGACATTTTCCACTCCAGAGGATAATAGTAACTAGTGAAATTGTAGCACTCTGAAAGTGGTAGTCTGAAAGATGAAAAATCATGTGTGGGGAGGTGTTATTAAGCTGTTAAAAATTTTTGAATTTTCTAAAATTGTGTTAACTTCTTAAATTAATTTTCTATTATTATAGAATGTGTTGAAGAAAAGATGATTTTTTTCTTAAAGATTCATCTCTCTTGCTTTTCCATTTGAGATATTAGATACTCTCAGAATGTGTACATCCTGATAGTTTAGTGAAGTCCACCAGAAAGGTGAAAGAATAGTCTTGTTGTCTCAAAAACAGATCTCCCCACACAGTATATTAAAGGGAAGCCCAAAACATTTAAATCAGTTTAAATCAGCTCACAGTATTTAGATAAAAGTCTTTCTATAGCACTGTATGCAAAGCCTGGAGTCCTGAAACCTGAACCAATTATTTCACTTTACAAAGACATATCTTTGGGTTATCCATGTTTGTGTACAGGCAGAAGGCAAATATTATCTTTGGGAATCTCAAAGCATTGGAGAGGAAATGAAAATAGTCTAAATGGCAGATGAATGCAAAAATTGTAAAGGTTCCTCCTCACCACTACCAGGTACAGAGGACATGCCATCTTTTCCAAGGGAACAGGAGGGAGATGACGAGGAACCAACAGAAGATGAACAGGAAGATCCTAGTGGTGTCCGTGAGTATTTCTGCCCATTATGTAGTGATTTCAATACTGAACCTACAGTAGCTTCTGTCTTCTCCCACCACTAGCTGTTTCCTTAATAGTAAGTATTCATCTCCAGTTTCTGCTCTTGGTGTTGCCCAATTTTATTTTGACTCTGGTCAAAGTGAAGTTCTGGGCTAACCACTGTGCCTGCAGTTCCTGCTGTCCCTCAGCTCACAAAGTCCCTCCCCTGAAAGTTTTTGTTGCTTAGGCCTGTCTCTGTAGCTAATGCTGCAATAAGGTTGTTGACTCCACCAGACTCTTTCAGCCAGAGGCCCGTATTTCTCTTTTTAACATCTTTTCCATCTTGCAATGCCTGTCCAGTGTCTATTTCAGATGTCCTGCATGTCATCTAACATACAACATCTAGGTAGGATGGATAACAAAATCTACTTTGGAAGAATTTTTTTATGAATCGCTGCATTACTTTTGGCATTTGTTTGATCTTTCTGTTATACCTTTTTTCCTGTTATAGGATGTGTTTCTTTCCTTCCCCTAAGTTTTAAATTACTGTTTTTTGGAAGCAAGCTTCTCCCTACACTTAATGCTAACAGCAGGAAGTCCATTGTTGGACAGATGGGATTTTTTTACTACTGCAGACCTATGTATTTATTTAACATGGCATGTGTGAGCAAAGAAGACCAAGAAATTCATACCCAGGAGAGTGATCCCAATTATACTTTGCAGAAGAAAACAAAAATAGTATTCCAAAGGAATCACCAACTGCAGAGGAGCAGGAGGAAGTGGATGGAGCAAGTTGAGTCAGACACTGAGAGCATTGCTGAGTACTGCTGTCCACTGAGGAGATGTTGGCACAAACTTAAAAAACCCAGTACTTTCTAGTTTTCATTTTTTTCCACTGTTACTATTATGAACAGCATCTCAGCCAGTGCCATCAAGTTACAGTGACTGAGCTTCTCTGCTCTCCTTCAGTTGACTTAACTTTGCTCTTTCCCATGGCTGGTCTCTGATCCCTTTGGTTGTTTCTCATGGAACACCTAGGAGAGAAAAAGGTGAGGACAGCATGAAAAGCTTACAAAATAGATAATGAGGATTTGTCCTGAGATATCCAACTGGAAACTACTTTCAACAAATGCTTACCACTAGTTGGAGGTTAAGTTGATGGCACTGTGCATTGCAATCCAGCAAAGAACTACCCTGGGTCACATATTATCAGTGTGCCTTTTTGAGGACAATGGTGTCTTCTTGTGGTGTGTTATATGTGGTTTTACTAATTGTTTTGTACAACAATGTGCATTCAATAGCTGTTGAAAAGAGACACTCAAATTTATTTGGTTTCTAAAGCTGAGACCTAAAGCAAACCTCAACTGAGCTGCTTTGGTAAGTCTTTAAGTTTTAAAATCAATGTTCTTAAAACAGTCTCAGAATTTTTCTGCCAGAGAGAGAATTTGTTACAGATCTTCCCAGGACCAGTAGTTACTAAGACAAGGCACCCCTGTTTTGAGCCATGAAGTACTTGGTACTCTGTCAAAGAAGGCAAAGGATGTGTGACTCCTCCACCTAACTTTTGAGGTTAGGTGGAAATATCAGCAAGAAACGTAAAATTTATGGTGAATATAAATTTCCATTATGTTCCCATTTCTGAGATGCTGAAGGTGAGTCAGAAGACCAAGGGAAGAGTGAAGTACCCTCGGAAAAACAACAAAAGCCTGAGGAGGTAAAAAGGAAACTCTCGGAAACCTTCTGCTATAATTATGAAGATATACGTTCACGACCATTTGTCACTGAAAACTCTGAGATACCCATTAACCTCCTTACTCTTAAGTATCCTTTCTGGTGAGTTTGTGCAAATTCAAAGCTAATGATGTTTAATATGTGCTCTTAAAATTGTATTTGTCAAATTTGAAATAGCCTATGTGGCATTAGTGGAATGCCTTTGGTTGAGACACAGGTAAGAATCCTGACCAGTTATGGTTCTGGGTGAATTTAATCTTAGACATTGTCTTGATCTCAAACATTTCTTACTAGACAAAGTGCTTACTATCATAAGTACTCCTGTAGAACTAGATCATGGACAAGCTAATGTGACCAGACAGAAGACTAGCATAAGAATGTCCACTGCAAAGCTCTCCCTTTCTGTGTAGCCACACAAGAAACTGAGGGGAGGGCAGAAGAGCTGTTGTGTAGCTCATAGTTCCTCACAGAACTACTAAGGGGGAAGTGAGAAAGAAACCAGGTAGATTTGTAGTCTGGTGCTCAGAAGATCTAAACTGGTAGAATGAAGGAAATGATGCCCATCAATTAAGAGCTACAATAAATCCTGTGCTAGGTATGGTCAAGTAGGATATGATACGTGACTTCCATATGTGCTGCTGGTTTTCTCTGCAAACATAGTTCAGTTGCTGTTGAAGACTGGATTTTCCCTTGTCTACATCTGCCTATAAATGTTTAAGAAGTGAGCTTGAAAGCTGCCTTGGTTTGATCTCTTGGTTTGCTCTCTCTGTTTGTAGAACAGTTTCTAGTAATCTGATGCACATCTCTCACATTTGTTTGAAAAGAGAACATGGATAGAATATGAATTCCTTGCAGCTCCAAAGGATCCAACAGAAGCAAGAGATGTGGCCTGTGGTGGAGATGAAAGGATGGAATGTGAACTTTAGAAGGCCTTCACTTGGGCCTTCCTCTCACTTATAGAGGCATAATATATTTTTTCACTGTATACTGAAGAAAACTATCTCCTGCCATCAGGCTTTTAGTCACTAGTTTCAGTATTCCCATTTCAGTTTCAGTTTAAGCATTCCTATCCACTTAGTAAACTTTTCTAGAAAGGCAGTGTCTAATCTTTTCCTTATTGGACTGTTCCCAGATATTCTTTTGGATATGAGTCTACCAGAACCGTAAACCTGCAGATGATGGATAGCCAAAAACTGCTGTATATAGCAGGCAACCAGGTGGTGATCCAGGATCTGAAAACTAAATCTCAGAGATATCTCCGGAGCAGCAGTGGTGGTGGAATTGGATTTATCGCAGTATGGCTCTTGTTTCTTGCTTTAGAATGCTGGTCACTTTCTAGGAAAAAAAATGTTTGCTTGGTTGCCAGATATGGGAGATTTCTACAGCTGCACATGCATATGTGTAAGACAGTGTAGTATTGATTAGAGGAGTGTGTGAACCATGCAGTGTAGTCTACTCATCCCACCAATATAATTGGCAGAGGATAAATATCTGCACACCTCAATCCTAGGCTCAGGTACCTAAAAAGACTGACAAGTGCCAGCTGGGATTAATTTTAATTAATAAAATAAAATTGATTTCATTTTAATTAATTTAATTTCTTGTTTAAACCTTTTGGCTCATAGCAACTCTTATTTTTTAACACTTAATCTGTCCTAGTCATAGTGATACTAGTATTAAAATTTAGAAAATCAAGTTCCTATACAAGTGAAGATAAAAAGTATCTGGTTTCACTCTAGTGAACTTACCAAGAGCTTGAACTTTCAAGTGCTATCTCTGAATTTGAAGCACCTTCCCCTGTGAAAGCTCTGCCATCTCTCAGTTTTATTTCACATGAGCAAGGCTTTCAGATTACCAGCCTCAGACTGTTCTGCTTCATTGTAAGCAGCCTTTTCTGGGGAATAAGTGTACATTTCTACATCTTCAGAATAGTGTCGTTCTGGATGGCTTTTCGGCAGCTGTCTGCTGAAGCTGATGGCTGCAGAAGTAAATGGCTGCTGACACAATTGCTGCTATGGAAAGATTAGCTAGCGAGGGTTGAGGTAGGAATAGTAGAAGAATGCATCATAAAGCAAGTTATTTCACATTTTGTCATGGCTCCAAACATATGTGCAATACACCATTTTGTGTGCATAGTGGCTTCATTCTTATATTGAGCAATAGATTAGCGGGTGTTCAGAATAAATGCACAGAAAAATGCAACCTAGAATTTATGGCAGTATGTTTTGACTACTAAGTGAGAAAATGCAATAACTCAATAACTAGCAGGATAGAGACAAAGGTGTCATTACAGCATGCAACAGGACTTTTGCTTTTTCAAGGCACACCCTACTAAGCAGTACTTTGCAGTAGGAGAAAAAGGAAAGAAGCCAAACCTTATCATCTACAAATATCCTTCACTGAGGCCCTACAGAATACTTCAAGGTAGTGTAAAAGGTTCTGTTTTCATTTTACACAGACGGGCTAGTGTTTATAGATCTCAGCAGATGGAGTAGTGGGTCACTTGAAGTTTAGAAGGAAATACAATGTTTAAATCCTTCACAGCAAAAATAGAAAACACTGGTTTCAAGCTTTTTCATTATTGCATGGGAGGAAACTTTTATTTGGTAGATAGCCAACCAAGAGCTATTAACTATTGAAAAAAATAATTACAGTGAAAATTGAGCTCCTTCTGAGTAGATTTTCATATTGTTTCTACCTCTTTCCTGTGCATATGTATTGAGGTTGTACATTTCTTCAGGTGGAACAGAGAAAGCCTATGTTTTTGGTGATTTCAACCGTGCTGGCACTTTGTTGGCCACTGTTGGGAGCAGCCCTGACTACATGCTGACTATTTGGGACTGGAAACAAGAAGAGATTGTGTTGAGGTCAAAAGCTTTTGCACAGGATGTTTACAAGGTCAGATTTTCTGCTGAGAATGAAGAGCATCTAACTACATCTGGATCAGGACACATCAAGTAAGTTTACTGATTAGGATTAATACATATCCCCTCTGAAGTCATAATATATAGAAGATGACTAACAGGAATGTATCATTGGCAAACATGAACCAATGAGGAATGCTATTTTACCTGGGCATTACAATTACAAAAATGGGGAAGTTCAAATCCTTCAGCCAGTCAAACAAGCCTTTTAACACCTTCAGTGTCCAAAAAGGGTGATGCTTGATGTTAAATGTCAGTACCACTGGCTCCATTCTTGTAATTTCAACAAGCACTGGGGAGAAGTAATAAAAATATTTATATATACATGTCTTCTAGCTGGTAACATAGCATATATGCCTTCTGTGCCTTCTGGACTTTCTACCTTTTGCGAAGTCATCTGCTGTTTGGGCAGCCATTAGAGCTGGTTGCCAAGTCAACGACCAGAAACCCTCTGATCCCACCAAAAGCCTCCAAGGAAGGCTTACCAAAGATATTCTTCCCTTCTCTGATAAGTTCATGGATCCTAATAAAAAATAAACAAGCTCTAGTTTTGTATTCTGTATTTATCCAGTACTCAATGTTAACACAGCAGAGACTTGAGATATGAATGTGATTCTATTGTAATAAAAATGATACCTTTAAAATTGTAATACATCTAAAGTTTCTTGGAATTTCGACAGAGGAATCAGATAAAAATCTGTGATTTGCTTTATAGTGGAGTTGCAAGGTGGGTCTGAAATAGCAAATTACTTATTTAGACCCAGAGCAAATGTGGTTTAGAATGCATTATTTATGGAAATCTGACAAAACAAACTCTCCTGTAAACTTTCTTTTGAGCTAAAATGCTATGAATAAACTCTGACACAGCTTTTATGACATGATAAACATGACCTTTCACCCAAATGTGATCTCAAATTTCAATTTCTAACACTATCTTAACGGTAATGTCTTCTGCACACACAGTGTGCAGTAGATGTTAATTTTTCTGTAATGCAGTAACTTAAAAAAAGAACTATTAAGACCTAGGATAAAACCTTTGGCTTGGTAAGGTTTTATAGTACAGTTCAAGTCCACGAGAGTACTTGTATGACATTTAGTGAAGACCTTAGTCCATTAGATTTACAAGGCTGAACATCATACACTGGAGCCAGCAAGAATAAAATAGGTATCCCTAACTATATGTATGGGTTGTAGCTGGAAAGATTTAGCAGTTGATTTTACACTTCTTAATTTTAAATTGTAATTTAATCTTCATTCTGCCCATTCCAAATACTTTTCCTAGCTTTTTCATAGGCGTTGTATAGGGAAATATTAGTTAGTAGTTACAAAGCTTTATTTCATTTTCAAAAGAAAAAACACAAGTTCTCATGTGAAAAATAGTAATAAATGAACAGCCTTAGTAACAGTATTGAAATATCTAAGAGGGACTGGAGAGTGTGTAAGAAATCTTATATCAGAGAGTGATATTTTTTCTGTACTCAGGTTCTGGAAGATGGCTCTCACATTAACTGGTCTCAAGTTACAAGGAGCTTTGGGCAGGTTTGGAAAAACAGCAGTGTCCGACATTTTAGGTTTTGTGGAGCTCCCCGATGGGAAGGTAAGTAAGAAAAAATAACAAAAAGAAAAAGAAAAGATTTTATATTCCCTCTTGGGTTTTGATATAAAGTTTACTACGTAAATTGGAGAGTTACTATTTGATTCAAAGTGATTTGAATTAGAGCCTGGATGATAATATAATATTAGACTCTTGTTCTGATCATATAACATTGGCATTAATTAACCCCAAACCTGTCTGGCTTTATAATAATTGAAAAATACGGTTAGTGCTGTAATTCACAGATTAAAGATCTCTGTTGGCTTAGAGCTGAGGGTCTTCTAATGGGGTAGTGAAAACATTAGTTTACAGAAATACAAAGACTGTTAGTCCTAATCTTTAACCATTTCAGTGCATGCAAATTATGTCACATTGCTAAAAGGTTGAACCTTCTCACCCCTTATATTTTCTCTTGCGAATATCTGTACATTGGTATTGATTTAATGCTTTCATGGAAGGAAGGCACAAATGTTAACTGGGTTCTTGCCAGTATTTCTGCACAATTAAGTGCACATGCTTATGTGCTTATCTTCATTTGCATTGAAGGTTGTCTCAGGAACTGAGTGGGGCAACTTGCTGCTTTGGGAAGGGGGCCTCATTAAAGTAGAGCTCTGTCGAGAGGGACACCAGCCCTGTCACCATGGCCCTGTCAACCAGTTAGTTCTTGAGGAGGGAGAACTTATCAGCGTTGGAAAAGATGGGTTCATTCGGGTGAGTTTTCCTTCTGCTCTGCCTTTAGGTATGCAAATATATGGTCAACAGGTAAAGGTTACATATTTCCTTTGGCAGGTTTTTGGAGGAAATTTTGAAGTGTAGTTTCTGAAAATGAATTTTTAAAACAAACAAAATAGGAGCACATCTCCACAGTGTATGTTTGAATTGGACAGCATTCACAAAGTGTTCCCCATTTAACAATAATAAATAAATCACCTTTTGCTTTAATAAATCAAAGTGATTTTCAGCTGTTCTTTACCAGTTTTGTTCTTGCCTGCATTCTAACATTTTTTTCACATGTAGTTTTTGCCATTATTTAAAATTTTCAGGACTATCGATGCATGTGGTGTTATTTAGAAAATAAATAATAAACTACAGGAATGTTTGAAATTAATTTTCTGAGTATTTGAAAACTCAGATTATTAACATTAAAATTACACAAAAATTAACTAAGAATTTTCTTTGCCTGCTCTTTAAGGGAAGACATGATGGGTCTTCTGCTGGTGTGTGAAATGACCCAGATAATCAATGGGAAACTGAGTATTATAGACAGTGGATGGTTTCAAACACCCTAGAGTTTTTGTTGTTGTTGTTGTGTTTTATGAGTTGGTATTACCCCATTAGGAAAATTCACTTGATTATAAACGTGCTGTCCTTATCCCACAGAGCAGAACATGGATGTGTTATATTTCCCATTCTTTTGTGCTGCCTCAGCAATGCTGAGAGCCCACACATATCATTTGCTCTCTATAGTTCTGAAACTGCTGTGTATAGCTCTGCTAGGGCCAGGGCTGAATTTAAGCTACTGTCCCTGTTCTAAGTTACATTCAAAGCAGTGATTTTGCTTTCTTATAATTTTGAATTTCTGTATCAATTGTGTATGAAAACAACCTGGCCTTAAAAAAAAAAGTGTTATTTTGTTTTTGTTTTTAAATGCTTCCAATTCCATGAAGGTGTGGAACTTTGAGATAATAGATGGTGCTGATTCTGTGGATGAGACAGGGTTACTGGAGGTGGAGCCTATGAATGAACTTTGTGTTGGCAAGAATGTCAGCCTGAATTTCATGTCAAAAGTTCAGGACCAGGGACAGACTGTTTGGTATGCTCAGGTAAGATGCACTCAAGTACATATATCTCTGTGGTAACAGCAGGAGTCCATTACAAATCAGTGCATTTCTTTTTGGTAGAGTTCAATCTTCTGGATATATAGAAATTTCTCTCTCTCTCTCAGTCTCTCTCTCCCCCCACATATATAATTTTATTATTTCAAACACTGAAACAGGCTTCCTAAAGAGGTGGTTTGTGTTCCAAGCCTGTCAGTGTTTAAGAGGCATTTAAGAGAACAGTGCCCTTAATAACATGCTTTAACTTTTGGTCAGCCCTAAAGTGGCCGTGTAGTTGGACTAGATGATCCTGGCACGTCCCTCCCAGCTGAATTATGCTATGTTATGCTATGCTGTATTTTTAGTGTATAGTAACGTGTGAGACTCTAGCTTTCAGAGCCGGAACTGCATAAGAATAGAAAAATGCCAAAAAGTATTGTCCAAGTTCTCTTACCATGATCTGATGGATGGAATGCATAGGACCAACATCATCACATTTAGTCATTTCTGTTTCACAGTGATATTTGTTAAGGAATTTTTAAGTGTGCAGTTTTATTTCTAAATTGAGTCTGAAAATATTCAATTTACATGTTTTGGTTTTCCTTCTGTAGGATACAAATGGAGCAATCTGGAAGCTGGATTTGACTTTTTCAAATATGGTAAGCTTGTTTTTTCTTTCTTCTGATTTTTCCAGTTCCTTTGTAATAGGAACCATATCCTATTGCATCCTTTAAATATACTGGTTGCATCTGCAATAAAATTTGTGTTTTATGAAGTTGCTCAATTGAAAATTTTAGCATTGAAACATATTTTTTTTCATTAAAAATTTCAAGTGTAATTGATTATAAGGATTGTGCAGGATTATAAAGAGTAATTTGATTTTTGATTCCTGAAATTTTGGCTGCCAAATTCAAGCTACTTTAAAGAAGTTTTATTTGCATAAACTGCTAACTGAAAGTTGCATGGATGCAGGAAATGAAGGACTATTGATATAGCCTATCAAATAGGTGTTTGAAACAATCCTTATTGTTGTCTCTAAATGACAGAAAGAACTAGAAAAAACAAGGAGAAGATGAAATACACTTGACATGTTTTAGCCTACTGGTAACCAGTGTTACTGCTGGAGATGTTTTTGATGGAGAAATAGATGACATGGGTGAAAAAAGGGGGCATTTAATTTTTGCTCCCAAGCATATTAAAGTAAACGGGAACAACCCCATGAGTGGCATAAAATTCTGTTGTGAAAAGTAAAATGTGTTCCAAGAATTTTATGGTGAATAAAGACTTACAAACCATGCTATAAAAACTAATGTAAAAAATGTATAGCAAAACCTAGAATTCCTTGGATGATGAATGATTTCCCAGGCAGCATAAGCTCAAACTTGAGAGCATTTTCTTTGCCTTCAGAGCAACAGCTCATTGTTTAAAACATTAATTCCAAGCCTCAAACCACTTAACAGAAGGCATTCCACTTTATATTCACATAGAAAATGATGGACTTTTTAAATGAACAAAATGTTCCTGTGCTAATTTTGCTCATGATCTTCTTATGAACATTTAAATAAAATAAAGGGAATTGCATATAGATATCTCGTGCTTGCCAGATTTTCTTCACACAAAGAGCACCTGTCTAGATTTTCCAGGTTTGCCAGAAATGACCGGTACTGCCTTGTAAATGCAACTGTAGAATGTAGCAGAATTCCTCTTCTTCTGTTTTGCACTGCAGACCCATGATCCAGAGTGCCTGTGTACCTTTCACTCTGGGAGGGTTGAGGCCATCAGTGTCTCTCCCATTACATACCTTATGGCTACCACAGCTCTTGACCGTAAGTGCACTACTTCTTTCCTCTCATACCACTGTCGTTCTTGGTTTCGAAGAGCAGTGATGCTTGGTTTGGAACTGTTCTGTTTTATACTGAAGTTGTGTATTTGCTCTTGCAAAGTCACTTTCCGCACAGTTCTTTAATAGTTGAAGCAAATAAATCATTAATGTTTTGAAACAATTCACTAAGACTCCTTCATCCCAAAAACGCGGGATTTTAACAACAGGCGTTTTTAATAGGAAACACTGTAAGTTCTGTTTGTTCTGAAGGAACATCTGAAAATGTGAGACATCTGGTTTGAATAACAGCACTTGTATTCAAGACTCTGGATTGATAAGTGTTGGGATTTTTGTTTTGTAAGGGATTACATACACCTCTAGCATTATGTAAGCCATTGTGAATATTAATATTTGTGTTTTTCTTAGAAAATGCAGTAACTATTATGCTCTCAACAACAGATAACATGTAGTTATAGACATAGTTATTTAACTTGTATAAATATTGCCATTTAGGCCTCTCACTGTTAGCTTTTTTTGTGCTTTGAAAGAAGAACAGCTGGCCAGAACATTAACAATGTCATCAATGTCATTTACACTGCTCAGAAAATGCTACAAGGTCTTTTAATTCAATTTTTGTTAGTAGTATCTTGTAATTTGTCTGTATTTTACAATGCAATGTCTTCTAGCCTGAAGACAAACTCCTACCAGTTGAACAAATGACACTTTGGATATATGCCAGCTGGAATAGAATTTTATGCAAACCAAAATGTGTGCCTGCGAATCTGTTAATTTTACCTCTGGTGAAACTGGATCTTCTGTGGACAATCTCCCATTTTCATTAATTTAAACGTTTTCCTCCCTTTAAATGTTTTCCTCCCTAGGCAATCCCAAGTAGTAGCATATCGTCTTTTCCTGTGTTGTCAGTACAGATACTCCTTACAGTATGCCACAGTTCTGTGCTTACTTGAAAATTACATGTGGATGGTCAGCATGGAACTTCTTATTACAGTCCTTAACCTCAACAACTCTTGTTTCTATGTAAGTTAAAGAGTGAAGAAAGAATATGTTTTGTTCATGAACACCATGCTAGCTGTGGTACTCTGTAACCATCGATCATGTCTTTCCAGGCAGGCATTTTGTTACTCAAAAGAGAAAAAAATACATTCTATCCAGATTTTAATTCAAATAAATAGACAGTTCTCCATAAATCCTAACATGTAAGCGATACTGTAAGTTATATAGTAAGTGATATTGCAAGAAAGAAATTCTTACTGTCTTATTTCCACACAGGGTCAGTGCGTATCTATGATTTCAGCAGCCACACTGAACTGAGTGAAATTAAGTTTAAACAGGGAGGAACAGCGCTGACATGGGCACCATATGTTGTGAGTTTTTGCTAGCATATTAACAAAAATTCATAAAGGGGCCTATGAGCCTGCCAGCATCAAGAAAGCTGCTCACTAAACAAGACATGAAAGAGGTCACTGTTAGGCTATGGTGGAATGTACTGTAGTAGTATATATATATAATTTTGTGGAGTAGTATGTATGTATATAGTATGTGTACAGTTTGGCTTTACTATGGATTATCAGGTATCCTACTTTGTGTCTTCCTGAGATTGTAAAATCAGATCTCAGTGTGCAGTCTGCAAAGTAGTCTTAGTTTATAGACTGACAGCTTCTATTTAACCCACGCAGGGTAATTGTCAATTAACACGAGTTAGTCAACACATTTTGCAATGACAGCCTAGACAATCCACAAACATTTGGAGATAAATCATAAAAAACTGTTGCCAGAACTGATCATTTGTGGAGTGTGGAGTCTATCGCTTTTAGACATATTTGCTAATTTTAATTAAAATAGTGTCTAGTTATGTTCTTGAGGAAATGTAGCAAGCCTGGTGGATTAATTATAAGCAAGTTTAGGAGGAAAGTACTTACTTGAATTTCTAAGGTGAGGGTTACACTGGGAGAGTGCTTTTTAAATACAATTCTGGCCATGCAGCCTTTCTGGGATGCTGTTAGGTGATGACCTGTACATTCAAGAGGTAAGCTGTCTGCCACAATAAATTGTACAGCATCACAAAACTGAGTCAGTTCAGTTTTATGGAAGTTGTTACCAAACACAGTCTGAGAAACAAAGGGTACTTAGTCTACCTAACTGCATTTAAAATCCCATTAGATACTTACACCCATCTTAAGGTGCTCAAATGTATCTGTGCTATTAATCTAAGAAAATTCAATCCAGCATACTTTGGAGCATCTGTATACCATAATGTCCTCGTAGGCACACTAGCAATGTACATGTTAGATAAGCTAACAGTGACATGGATTTAAAGCTGCCTAAATAGCCAGGCTCCAAGGGTTGCATCAGTAGCACAAAATCAAGCTAGAGACAAATCTTCAGCTGTGTTCCCTAGGGGTCATTATGGGTGCCAGTATTCTTCATTAGTTACCTGGACTCTGGAACAGAAGGCACCCTCAGCAACTTTGCAGATGATACAAGACCAAGAGGAGTGGCTGATACTCCAAAGGGTTGTGCTGCCATTCAGCAGGATCTGGACAAATGGATAAAGCTTATCCATTTACATTTACCTCTTCACACAGCAATTCTGCTTCTGGTCTCATTTCTAGTGTGCCATGTCTGGAGCTGGCTCAGCTTGTAAATGACTTTAAGGCACTATCACGTATAGCTAATATCACCTAAATCTGCAAGTCCAGCTATATCCAGCTAAAACACAGGCCTGTTTCTGCTAACCTTTCTCTCTCACAATTCAAATGTCTTAATTGGTAGGAATTGGCTTAGCTACAGGACGTATGGTAAAAACTCCTATTTTCCATCTCAAGTAGCTGTCCCTGTTGACACTTGTACTTTACATGGAGTCAGCCAGACCCATGCCTGTCTCCTCACCTCTTCAAAAATCATACCTATATTTGATGCTCAATATTATATTCAGAGTAATATAATAATTCCGTTTTGAGTTCCAGCTCTTTTCCGTAAGAAGCTACTGATATATCTTTATGTCAGTATGAATTACCTCTTCCTCAGACATTACAACCACATCCTCATTAATACTTCCAGTCTCAATGACTTTACCAGTTAAAAAAAACCAAAACACAACCCAACCCAAAAAATAACTCCCAGTCCTCTCCCTTCCTTTATAGTAGCATATTAGAGAGAATAAACAACATTTCCCATGTATGAAATGTTCTTTGTGCTTCAGCAACACTTGTATGTAAGATGAGTTACAGATAAACACAAGAGCATGTGCCATATGGATTCTTCTAAGGCCTCAGATGTACACTGAGATTTTTTTCTTCATTTCACTTAAAGGTAAATCCTGCAGGAGGTCTAGTTGCTGTGGGGTTTGAAGATGGTGTTGTCCGCATAATTGAAGTTTATGATCCCAAACTACTGCCTGGTCGTGCAGAACAGGCCAGTACAGAGAAGGCAGAGATAAATCTGAAACAGGCTTTCAAACCTCATTCTGCTGCAGTTACAGCCTTGGCATATGAACGAAATGGAGATGTGTTTGCCACAGGGGTGTGTATAATTTCTTTTGGTTATTTTTATTAAGCCACAAATGTAGAGATTGTTTAAAGAGACAAGGTAAAGTTTGTTCACCGACAATACAGTTATACTTCTGTTACTGCAGTTGATTGCTTGTTGTAGTTCTCTGCACTGCTGGGAGAAGGATCTGTTTGCACTCACATCTGTTTTTCTGAAGGAAAGCAACTGTGCAGTTCACACAATTCATTTTGTGAATTACTGGACTGTTTAGTGTGAATTCTGTAATCCCCTTTGAAGATGGATTTGGTTCATTTTGGAATTAGTTTAGTAGGATCTTGGAATTAGTAAAAGCAAGTCCTTTTATACACCACCTTGGCAGCACTCCAGCTGCTACCCAGCACTGCTTGGCCTTACCACAGGGTCAGCCAGTCGGTTTGTCAGTATGCCTGGTAGTCTTTGAGATGATTTCAAGTTAATGTGGTCTCTCTTTTTAGAAGCTGGTCCTCAGCCATGATCAGTGCATTTGCAGTTACATGTTCCTTGAGCCGAATTGCTATGCATTTCACTTAATGTAGGATTTAAGCTACCATGAGTTATGCTGTGCACCAGTTCTGGATTTTCTTGTTATCTGGGGAAATTAGCTTGTGCTGTCTTATCTGAAAAATCGGGCCTGAGCCTGAGCTTTAAAGGAACTCCCAGAGCAATGGCCAGAAAGCACATGGCTGGGGATGCCAGAGAAGGCCCATGAGAGCAATTAAGGGCTATGGGTGCATTCATGGCCCTGTAGCAACGTGGGCAGGATTTTTATTTCCTCACAGTAATCATCATGGAAATACAATTCTGAGTACCAACAAAAAAAATCGAAGTATGTGTTTCTATCACAAAGTGCTTACAGTCTTTTGAATTTTTGGTCAGCTTTGATTCAGTTGTCATCTTTATTTTTGTTTTTTATTTTTTGTCCCTTCAGAGTAAAGACAAAACAGTTTTCTTTTTTGCTGCTAAAGATGAATACAAGCCAGTTGGATTTATCTGTGTCCCTGGGCCTGTACAGGCATTACAGTGGTCTCCACCTTCTCATGTGAGTATTGCATGTTTGCTTTCTTTCCTTCCCTACAGTGTTAAAATATAATTTTGAAAAGAACTTGCAATGAAGATAGATGAAGATCCATGACTCTAGCTGTGTTCTCTATGGAAAATGCAAAAGATATTTTGCTGCTTTGTTCGTCATGCCGCTTCAACATGAAAGATAGATTCTGTGTAGCTGTATCACTGGTTCTGTCATTTTGGATGTATTTTGGACCTTGGATAATGCAAACCACAAGATTTTGCTATGCTTTTTGAGCTCCTGCCTTGAAGAAACAATCTTGTTCCTTATCTTTTGGAAGGTCTTAGTCTTCTTTATAAAAGAGGTTATTTGAGTGTTACTGCCTGTGACTCCTGCCCATGTTAAAACAGGCTTTTGCAAAGCTTTTGGACCACATTAAGAAAGATTTTGGATGCTTCTTGGAATTCACATTCTGTGTTTGAAGCGTATCAGGACATATCCAGATAGATTCTTGCTAATATTTAAAAAGTATTGTAGGGTTAGGGTAACATCTGAAATTTTGGTTGATCCAGTATCCCTATTTAGAGAAGAGACTGTTCATTATACTTAGATGCTGACAAGATACACTATACAGGTGCACAGTGGCAAGGTGTTGGTATTACTGCTTGGTCATTGCAACTTCTGAAGGCTGTGCTGGCAAAAGGACTAGTATGAATTCTGTCTTACTGCTGATGTGACAGATCTCAATATGATAGTTGCATTTTGAGCCCTTTTCTTGAAGACAAGGTACTTCTACTTACTAAAAAAAGCACCTGTTGTATCTTGGATATGTTAGATTCTGACTGAGTAGTTTTGTCTACCAGTGTCAGGTCTCCATTGCTAGATGTGAACACCTGCTAAACATAGTACAAGCATCTGAGTGTTACACTACTTATTTTTGTGTTTTAAAAAGCACCTCGGTAATTAAATACATTACATTTAATGAATGCATTTTTAAACTGAGATCTTAGAGAAACAAGAACCATATCAGTCCTGGTTAAGGTTTCCATAGCAACTCTAATATGCCCTTTTTGCACATTTTTAGTTATGAATCAGATAAAATAAACCTATCTCTCTGTTCTCCACATTGAAACTAAACACACACTTGTCTTTTAAAAATCTCAAAACTCTAAATAATTATTACCCTCACCTATTCTTCCTAACTTTTACATTTTAAAGGACTTGGCATGTATTATCAAAGAACAAGCAAACTCAAAGCTAAATAGCATTTGGCAAAACTCTGAGCCAAGTCTTGAAGACATAAAGGATTTATTTAATATAGAAACATATGAAATTTCATGCAATTATCAACCCAAAACCTCAACTCCTAATTCTTCGGTCAGATCCATCTTTTAATTTAAGCAAACTCCCGAAATATCATCATGGTGCTTCCAAGCTAAGCAATGTCAGAATTATAACTGCTTTGTACATGGCAAAGACTTCTTTAATTCCTTAGCTTTGCCTAGCATGTATGGCATAAAAGAAGCTCACTGGTTTCTGATGTCTATTTAAAAGTGTCCATTTAAATAAGAGCACAATTAGGAGTGGCTGGAATTTGGCTTTGTCCCTATGCATCTGCTAACTAACTTTTTTTCTCATAAGTTTTGATTTCATATATACATCTGCCCTATATTTGTATTTTTTGTGTTTTTATACAGGAGAAGAGCACACTGCTCATCCTTTGTGAGAATGGCTTTGCTGTCCAGGTTCCTGCCCCTCTCCCTGGGGAACAGGATACAGTGACAACCTATCAAATTAAAAACCTGCCAATGCAATACTTCCATTTTTATAGTATCAAATCCCGAATCAAGGTAAAAAACTCTCCTGTGGCAGAATTTCATGTTCTTCGTTGTGCCAGAGGAAAAAACTACCCAAAAAGGTTTCTAGTCCCTGTATTGCATCATTGGATTTTTGCTAAGCTTTTGAAAGGGAAGGCTAGGTAAAGTCCATTTGTGGCTGTGCTTCAGCATTAAAATTACAAGTTGTTGTTTGTTTATTCAAATAGAACATACATCACACTGAAAGTGGTGTATTATGGAATGTGAGGCAAAGCTTCATTTCATGTTGTAACTTGGAAGAAGTCATTATTCAGGAGAAGATTTCTTGGTGTTTTTTTCCCGGGAAGATCTACAAGAATGATCACAAAGCATACATATGAAATGAAAGATTAAAAGAATATCTGTGGAGTTTTGTTGGGGTTTGCTTTTTGGGGGTTTTTGAGTGTTTTTTTTAATCTAAAGAGAAGAATATTGTTGGGAGACGCTGTAAATCTTTAAAATTGAAAGGTTTCTGCAGAGAGAAAGAATATTAATTGCTCTAATTTTCCTCTAGAAATATATCAGTAATTGATAAGTTACAACAAGGATGTTTTAGATAAGATGCAAAGGAAGATTTCTCACAGTAAGGGTGGTGAAGCACTGAATTAGTTTTCCTAGCATGTAGAGCAGGAGATTTTAAAAAGGTAAATCAGACAAACATCAGCTGATAATATTTAAGGCTTTGCCAATTTTGGCTTTTGGGAAAAACAATGTTCTTTTGAGATCCCTTCCAGACCTTTCATTATGATTTACTATCTAATATCTTCTTAGGAAGATCCTGTTTTAGAGAAGGATACTTGTTTATGCTACAGTAGGCTTGAATGGAAAAGGAGTTTAAAAGATTCGATAACTCTGCACATCTTCCCTTATTGTTAAGAAAAAGTAAAGTCCATTACAGCTTCTCTCTTTTTCTCTACATCAATGATGCACTAGATCTTTGGAATTTGAGTTCAACTTCCTAGTACTTTTCTTTCTTCTGAGCAGGCAGAGAACAGGACTTAGGAGTTCTGCAGCAGGAGTATGCATAGTGGTGAATATTTGGAATAATCTCTCCGAGGACATGTTGAAGTCTGCTTCTCATACAGAATTATTTCTGTTTCAAAGGACCATGAGTTAAAATACTTTAGAGAAGGGAAATGGGGCATTCCACTGGAGAGTCCCATGAAGTCTGGTTGATCTCTGCTTAGCTGACAGAAAAGAGATTTCTCTAGATATTCCATATAATGCCAGGACCACCTTGGATTAGATTTATGAGACTCCTTCAGTCAGCGATGCATGCAGTGCCTTAGTTTCATATCTCTGTGTTTCTCTGCTTGTTGTAATAGCTGGAAGAGGAGATTGCAAGGAGAGAGGAAAAAAAGAAGGAGAAGGAGAGGGCAAGGCTTCAATGGATAAAGGAGCAAAAGGAGATGGGACTTGAGATAGAACAAGAACCTGAACAGGAACCCGAAGAAGAGCCATTGCCACCTCTCTACGTACCAGAGGAACCCAGTCCCATCCTCTGTGGTTTTTATTCAACACCAGGAAAATTTTGGCTTTCCTTGGTAAATCAGTTTTTACTTCGTGTTGATGGGATTGCATGATGTGACAACCTTCCCTTCACATATGAGTGCCTTATAAAAAATCTGATTTTTTGAAATCTGCTATCTCTAGGACATTGAATTCCCTTCATACTTAATAGTTTCCATGGTCTTTGTGAAATAAACCATCAGTGTCACTCCAATTCAGCTTGTTTGGTAAATTTCCAATAGGTATCACTGTTGGTGATGCTTGAATGGGCACAAAGACTAAGCTGTTCCCTCACAGGCAGAGGATAGAATCTTAACATATTGGTAGAATGGCTTGTAATGCCAGTGATCATGACAGATTTTTGTCTGTGGATAAATAGGATCTTTAGGTGTTTGGAAGTAACATTTTCTAACATATCATAGAATCATTCTGAAAATTTCGTTTACCTGGTGAGCTGCTTCAGTTTTCTTTTGTCACCTTTTCTTTATGGTCCTCTTCTTCAGGGTGGGTATGACTCAGGATTTCTCTATCATTGTGAATTCTCACATGATCATGAAGAAGACCCTGAAAACAGGAAAGATGAACCCTTTGAAGTGATTCCAATTGAGGACACTGACAACAATCCCATTCACCAAATCTCCTTCTGGTAAAACACTGTAATGTAACAGATAGCTCTGTGATAAAGCTTGATGAAATGGAACTTGGAAGGGAGGAGTGTATGCTCCTTAGTCCCTTTTTAATTGTGGCTCAACTCTAGTATGCAGGAAGTCTCTCTGGTTTTCCTGGCATTGAGTTTCACTTAAAATTCCTAATAGACGTAGCTGGGTCTTGTGTCTGACAGAATAATTTAAAAAGCCCTTCAAAGATGAAAAAGTCTGATTTCTAATTAAGTACTGATTAGGACTCAAACACCCTAGATTGTAGAACTCCAGGTGAACCATTAGAGGTCCTGCCATATAGTGATCCCCAGAACAGCAGTTCTTTTTCATAGTTAGCAAAGAGCCCTTCAGGAGAACACAGAGGGGTCAGTCCATCCCTTTTGTGTGAAGAATATAGGCTTCTCTGGACATCTGTGAACTCTATGAATGAAAAGAGTGTATTATTTTCAGACTCCCAGAATTAGGTTCCCTGTAAGACTAGGCATGTTCTGCATCAAAGGAGGCAGTTTTAGTTAGACTTTAATGTACTCCTGGCTGCATTTACCACCATCTGTACTAAATTGGGAGCAGGGAGGAAAAACTGCTTTTCTAGCTTTTAACTTGGTGTCTGCTACACTGCCCAACTCAGGGTTGAGACTAGTTCCATGATGCGCAGCAAATGTTTGAACATTCCTGAGCAGCAAGTTAGCTGAAAAAAATTTTATAGCAGAATCACACTTACTTTAAATGATCCAAATACTTTGCTCCCAGCTTCCAAACTTGGGAAAGTGACTTTTATTAAGCTAGATTAGCTCTTTTCAAGCGTCATGTTTTGAGCTTAGTTGTTACAAGTTGCCTGCTATTACTGTTTCTCGTTGCTTATTTGACAGTGCCAGCAGTCCACTGATGTTTTTTGGGATGCAGGATGGCTCAGTGCGTGTTTATCCTCTCCCTAAAAAAGACCTCTCAGTGAATACCCTGAAGAAATACTGGTCCCTCAATGTACATGACAATGATGATGGCCAGATCCAGGGGATCTGTTCTAGCTATGATGGTAGGTTTCTGATTACCTGTGGTGGAGATGGAAACATTTTTACATTCGACATCTTGTCAACGGAGGACGTTCCCCTAGAGCGAAAAGCCGAAATCCCCTTTCCAAGGGTAAGTTGCTACCCCCTTTCATTAAATTAGGCCTCTTTGGTATGAAAGTACTGTAGATGGGCAAAACAAAGTTCAGTTATTTGACATCATAGGTCTTTCATAGCAAAAGCTGAGGTTTTCCAAACAATTTAGAAGAATAGCTCTTGCAAAATGTTCCCTAATAAACAGGCACTATGACTGTATTGTTCCTTCTCAATGTTTTTTGTTTTTCTCCAAATAAACATGGTATATGTTGTTCATATGTAATATTCTACCGGTGTTTTCCCACTCAGAGGTGTAATCATGAAAATTCCTAGAATGCAAGGACCACAAGGATTTGTCATACTTCTTAACTTCCTTAGGTTTAATTCCTGTAAAGTATGATTCTGCTCTGGATGGGGATTCTAGAAATAATGTTGGAGAATACCAAATGTGTAGTTTCTCCACGCATCTAGTACCATTCACCTAAAATTCACAAGTTGGCTTTTTTACACTTGCAAAATAGCACAGCATGATGCTGATCCTGTTGCTTTTTCACTCTTGGACAGCATTGGCAGTAATGAGTTTACAGGTGTCCTGTAATCACTGTAGAGCTCATCATCTCTAGCACATTTGAACAGATGACACTGGAATAACAGTTGTATTGATAATACACAAGAAAAGAGATGTCAATTCCCCCACTGAAAATGTCCAGACTTTATTGAATTTTTAAAAAATCTCTAGAGTATCTGAATTAAATAAATATAGCTTGAAAGAAGCAATGAGACCTGTTGAGTAAAGAAGTGCTTTCATGCAATTAATATTCCAGTAGATATACACTGAGTGCAGTTTAAAAATCTTGAAAGTGTCACCATAGAGCAAATTCAACTTTTAAATGCTGTTAATACTAGTTGGTAACTACATTTTGAAGGATGCTTGACAATGGAGACAGAGGAAACTGTGATTTTGGTCATTCAGCCACATTGTTCATGATTAGTTGGAATTCTTTACCAGTATCACAAGAACATACAACACTGAGAATAGACTCAGAGTTATTTTCTATAAGTGAATGATTGGAACCCTTGATATCAGAGTATTGCTAGCTCCAGTACTACAAGAAGTGATTAATATACAATTATAAAGCATATATGCAGTTTTAGAATTTTGAATATGTAAGTAGGTCTATATAAAGATCCCTATGGTCAATTTCTATTGTTCAGGCTAGCAACATTGCTTAATGACCATCCTAATAGAGTTTTTCCCTTTTCAAAGTATATTTTCATTAAGTATCTATTCTAATTTTAAGTCATGTGGAAGATTTTAGAAATTCTATCTTCATTAAACTAAATGAGATTCTTAGAGAATGAAACACAAATCATCTGAAACTAATTGAGTTAAATTACAGATCAATTTAGTACAACTAAATTGTTGGGTGATAGGGCCCCTCTTTTTTTAGAGCATAATTGCCTAGGGAAATGAGGCTTGTGCAATGCAGTGTCCATCCATCTGTCATACTTCACAGCTAATAATTGTGAACCCATTAAGCAGTCAGCAAAAGCAAACCAGATTAATTACACATGTAACTTGGAATTAGCCCAGGATATGTTGACTCTTGTCAGTGTGGCAGTGAGGGGAGACAAGAGAATTGGGTCTGGGAGAACCAAAGATGTTATGGGACAGAGTGAAGTTAGGACAAGCAATGATGTAAATGGTTAATGTTGATGGGGAGGATATAGGATTTGTGTTCTCTGTCCCTAAGAATTGTGTTTCATTAGGTCTTTTGCATATAAAAGCCAGCTTCATTGCTTTTTCTTCTTGAAATATTAAAACCTGATATTTAAGGCCCATATAGTAATATTGAACACGAAGATTTCTTTTGGTTTTGTGAGAGGCAATGGGAGCTCTGTCTTAATGTTTATAAGAGCCTTATTGTCTGTTGAAGCTATTATTGCTTGTTTAAAGACAAGACAACATTTTTATTCCAGATTGGTCTTGAGAAGGAGAAGGCTGCTGAAGACATTGAGGATCCTGATGCCTACAAGTAAGAGATGCTTAGATAATGATGAAAGAGATTTTCCAGTGTTGGTAGCTCTTTCCTCGCACCACGTATTTCTTTTATCCTGCTCAGAGGAGAGAGAAGTTGACCTGAATTTGGGTCATTTCTTTGTTATACAAAAAGTTTTTTCATGCTTTCCCTCCATACTTTTCTGTGGCAGTAATTCAAATATGATACTCACTGTGGGACTTACTTAACTTCAGGCTACAGGGTCAAAGCCCCTTGATGCTAGGAATGTACAGATATGAAGGAAGATGATTCCTTTCTAAGTTACATTAAGAGTCATTGAGTTCACTGGGAATTGAAGGCTGTCAAGGAAATCTAAAAGGTCACATAAACTGTAATCTTTTCTCTCTTTCATTAAGATATTTCTTTTTTCATTCATTTTCAGTATTGAGGAAGTTAAGCAGAAAAAGGAGTCTGAACGGATAATGAAGGAAGCTGAAGAAAAGAAAAATAAGAAAAGACAGGAGATAATTGCACTGAGACATGACTTTGTTTTTCTCCTTCAAAAGAATCAGGAGTTGCCCAAGCACATGCAGCTGCGCAGAGAGGTACATCTGGGTTTTATGAGGGTCATCTAACTTTAGAGGCCTCTTCTTCTAAAATGTTGCTGCCCATCATGTTGGGGCCAAAGATGTCCAACCCTTTGGATTAAGTTGCTGGAACTTCTGAATCACCACTGATGATTTGTGCCAATTAAGAAGTATAGGAGAAAAATGTGGTTCTCTGTGCAGATCCAAGTAGCTTCTGAAATAAAGGATTGTGTTGATGTGCATGGAACTAAAGTACCTGGGCAAAAATATTTATTATCAAGACCTAGTAGCCAAGATAATGTGATGCTGGGTTTTCCATCTTTCTGCAGGAGTATGAGATGGACCATAGGATCTTTGAGGAGCTGGATAGACAGAAAGCACAGAGAATCCAGTCAGTGCAAAAGGAGCTGGCTTGGGAGCATGAGAAACAGTTGACTGGACTGCAGAAACTACAAAAACAGTAAGTACCACTTTTACTTCTTCCTCTGACCTTGCATGGGACTTATTGTTTATGAAGTTGTGCCTCCAACAAGGAAAAAGAATGTGTTTTTTCTCCCTCATATAGTCAATATTTCATCTGTTCTGTTATGATTCTGTACTTACTTTATTTGGAACTTACATGAAAGTAAATATTGATGTTTGTGTGAAATTAGTTCTTTTGAATCTTTGGTAAAAATTCAGATAGTCAAATGAAAGAAATAGCTTCATTCTGATTCACTTCTATATCAAGAATGCTGGTTGAGACTGTTTGCCTGGAGTTTTACCTCTAAGTTCAGTAAGAGCCCAGAACTCTTACTGAAATGTTGAAGAACAACCTGTGAAATGAACATTTATTTTTCAGACATGTTGCATGTCCGTCAGATATTTTAGTGTCATTGCTAACACAATGTTCTCTGTACAATTTAAAGGTAAGAAAAAACTTTCTCAAGAACACAAGTTTAAACATGAGGTGCATTTTGGGTTGCTTTTCGTAGATCTAATTATCTAGCAAAAGCTGAATTCCTAAAAATAAATACACAATATAAATAATACACAATAAAAAAGATACCTCAGGCACACAGAGGACAGGGAAAAAGGTTTGAATGAACATGTTTTTAATAATTCCTTAATGGAAGATGAAAGTTATTCTCATGAAGAACCTGGTGTAAGTTTCAATATTGGGAGAGGTCTTAATATGTTTATCCCTGAGCATCTCCATTCCTAGGTTGGATAAATGTCAATAGATAGTGTCAGATGTTATGCTGTAATAACATATGCTATATTACTTATAGCACTTAAATATTACTTATGACTTGTGAATTTTTGTGTAGTGATTGCATATGCAATAAGTAAACCACACTATTCATGTCCTTTTGGTCAAGGCAAAATGGTATGTTGTGCCTACTGACTAAATTTTTACTGACAGTTTTTTTCTAATTTGGCTTTTCAGGTTTCGGGACTCACTAGAATTTACTGTTGTTGTTCATGCTATTCAAAGCAATCATCAGATTTCCACCTACAAACTTCTACCAGTCCCTGAGAAATACAGCCAAGATAAAGAACAAGTGGGCAGCAAGTGGAAAGTACTTAAAGACAAGTGGAGAGCACTTAAACAGGCAGAAGCAGCAAAAAAAATGGAGATCACCACAGACTCAAGGCATATACATAGTGGTAATGATAACTATTTAAATGTTGCAGTAATATGATTTCTGTCTGTCTTTCATCTCAGTTTGTTTCCCTGAGTCCAAACTAAAGAAATAATAAGTGTAAGCACAGGTAAAGAAATGTAGTGTGGTATATTTTTTCAGTACCTACATACATAGTAACACTTATACATAGTTTTCCACGTTTAGGTCAATGTCACAAATTGTCTATCAGCTCCATGGGTAGAATGTGACTAAGAGTCAGGTCAAAGAACCTGAATACTTTCAGAACCTCCACTACACTGTAACTATACTGATTTACATCAGCTCTACAAGAGTTGTCCCAGGGGCTTTCCAGTAGTTGGGATTGCACTGTGCTGCATGGTATTTATAACTTCACATAGTTATTTTTTGGTCCAGATATTAGAATTTTTGTGGATGAGGCTGAAGAGCTGAAGATGCCAGATGTCCAAAAGCCAACTGCACGTTATATAGAAATGAAACGTGAGAAAATCAGAAGAATTGTTGAGAAATCTGACAAAATTAAAGCCAAGCTCATAAAGAGGAAGGCACAGTGGGATGAACTGTGAGTTTTGAACTGGACTCTGTGCCCTTTTAGTTGTGCTTCTTGTCTGAGGTCAAATAATGCTATATAGCTGTCATATGGCACTATAATCTCTCTGCTTAGGTTTTTATATTCCTAAGGGCTGTAATTAAAATAGATGAATATTCATGTATCTCTGAGTCTCAAGAGAGCATTAAAATATTTCAGTTAGTTTCTGTGGTTCTTCTAAGCTATTAACAAATTTGAATTCAGCTAGGTAGCTGCATTTTCAGATAGGTAGTAAAATATGTCTACAGGCTGGTAGACTGTTGACATGTGGCTCCCTGAAATTGAGAGCAGCATGTACTTACTTAACCCAGAACTCAGTCCGAGTGTGAAGGTTTAAACTGTCACATAACAGAACTATGTTTTAAGAATTCTTAGGGGAAAAAAAATTAATCTGAGGTTTTCTTTCAAGTTTGCAAGGATATTCTTGCCAAAGTAGCGATTTTTTTCTGAAAGAGGGTTATCATTCTTGATCCCTCTTTCGCTTTCCTTACTGCACAAATCAGAAGATGTGAAATCAGCCCATTTTTTCATCTGTATGCTCTCTGTCTTAAAGTTCAGCTTTATTTTGTACCTACCAGATACAAGAGCAAACCTCGCAATGACTATGAGAATCCCAGAGATGCTGAGGAGATCAGAGAAGAACGGGAGAATATGGGATGTTATCAGCTCAAGACTGCCTCTGACTACAAACTCCCTGAACACAAGTATGTGAACACTGAGAAGAAGATGATGCAGCTTGCATCACTGAAAGAGTTGGTATGTAAACTGCTTCATTGCTGTGTATATTTCCCCTTTTTTGGTGGAGGGGGAAGGGAGGATAGTGCATTAGTCACTGAAGAAATTTTTTGAAGGGAAATCAAAGTGGATGTAGGAAGAAGCCTTGAAGGACAGACTGCTGTGTTGAGTCAGCTTTAGTTACAAATCAGCCTTTTTCTTGTGAACTGTTAGTGCTTCACCTTCAATCCAGGATAATCTTCAGATGGCTCTTTATAAATGAGAAAGAGAATTTACCTTTACTAGTATTTCAGCAGGAACACCTGTCTTTTTGAATTCTTCAGAAAGTCTTATCATGTAGTAAAACACTGAGCTAAATACATCCCCCCCATGAAATACCTTTACAAAAACAGAGATGTGAGCAAGGATGAGTGTTTCTAGTGTGGCCTCTCCATATTTGCACTTTGGCTATTACTGATTCTGTGTACTAAGCATTGGAATCTTCCTGAGAAATCAGGTCTTTTGGAGCCACCTTGCTGCAATAGGGCAGCTACCACGCATCTTTTAACCACAAATACACAATAAGCTCAAAGGTTGTGCAGTATCTTCATTGTTTTCCTTGTGACTTCTTTCTCTCAGTCTTTCTCATAGGAACTGTTTTTCATTTTATTTTGCTGGAGTGCAAAAGAGTGACACATTTCTTTATCTAAAAGAACAGTGAAGAAATACATCTATTGCACTTGGAACTGCCTAGTTACTTTTTGATAGGAAGGCTTCTTTCTTGCCCTGCTTACTGACAGAGGAGCCTCTTTGCTGCATGGTTTCTCTTTGCCTGGTGAAGTGGCCCTGAGTCTTCTCCAGCCTTATCCTCATGAACGTGTTGCCTGATCTCAGGCACCCTGTGTGCTGGATGACTTTGACAGTGAGGTCTAAGCATTATAGAATCAATGCTACAGTCTTAGGGGGTTTGTTGGATCATTTTAGTCTCATGCTTGGGCTTCAGCACTTCATTGTAGTGCTGATGCCACCAGATACCCAGTGATTAACCTAACTCATCAGGACAAGCAATACAAACAAAGGGAACAGTTCTTGTCATAAATTCCAGGTTTGTACAGATGAAGAATTCCAGTGACTTCAGGTAGGTGGTGTATAGGCTTATTTTCTGTTATAAAGATCAGAGAAGTTTTTGCCAAATCTATTAATGATAGATCACATTCAATTATTATTTCATGTGAAAAGGGTCAACTAATACAGCATCTCCTTATTGCAGAATGACTGAAGTAGGAAGATGCTTCCAATGGTAATCTAGTCCAAACCCTCTGCTCAAGCAAGGCTATACAGAGGAGGTTGCCCAGGGCCATGTCCTAATGGCTTTCCAATATCTCCAAGGATTGAGACCCTGCAATCTCACTAGGCAATCTATGCGTGTTCAGTCACCCTCACAGTAAAGAAGTGTTTCCTGATGTTCAGAGGGAACCACTTGGGTTTGAGTTTGTGCCCATCTCCTCTAGCCAGTCATTGTGCACCACTTAAAAGAGCCTGGCTCCATCCTCTTTGCATGCTTCTTTCAGGTATTTATATACGTTGATGGCATCCACACCAAGCCTTCTCTTCTCCATGCTGAACAGACCCTGCTCTCTCAGCCTTTCCTCAGAGAAGAGATGCTCCAGTTCCCTAATCATCTTAGTGGCCCCTTACTGGACTGTCTCCAGTAGCACTGTTTCTCTCTTGTACTGGGGAGCCCAGAACTGGACACAGAACTCCAGATGTGACCTTGCCATGCTGAGGAGGGATCACGTCTCTTGACCTGTGGCAATACTCCCTAACACAATCCAGGATAATGTTAGCCATCTTGTGTTGGGGAAGACTTCTTATTATGTAAGTATTCCTGGGGAATCCTACTAAAATTGTTTTTCCATTGCAGATCCATAGGAAGAAAGCAAATATGAACAAAGAGATCGTATCTTTGCGGGACCTCAAGGTTTCTATTATTGATGAAATCAAGTGTTTAGTGAAGGAGTTGAAATCCATACAGGCAACCTTGGATTTGTCAGAACGTCTCCCTCTTCCCCTGATCCCTCGGCTACACCCAGATGAGGTTCCTGAAAAAAAATTTGAGTGCAACAGTGACATCCTCCAGAGGTTCAAAGAGGAGCTGGCCAAGGCAAAGCCCCAGGAACAGTTGGAAGGGTCTGCCTCGTTTCGTGCATTTAGACGTGGATTTATTCCAGCTCCTTCAGTGGAGGAGACTGACCCCATGGCACAGGCTGCAGATACACACCCGGTGAACACAGCATCATCTGTGGGCACAGAGCAGCAGAAGGTGTTTGAGATTGAGAAAGCAGAGCCAACAGAAATAGAACTGGAAATTTTAAAGAGGGAGAAGATAAAAAATCTATACTTCCAGGAGACCTTGATTAAAAAGGTAGGAAATCAAAAGCTATTTTTGTCAGATTAAACAAGGCCACTGGATCAGAAACAAAACCAAATCCCTTTTTGTCTCAGGATTGCAGCTATTCTTACCTTTATGAAGTTCAAAAAAATTATATCTGTTGGAAATTTGCAGTGTAAATCAGTATAAATCCATAACTATGACCTGTGGGCTATTATTACTTGAAAAACACATCTTAGATTTCTTATTGATTGTTCTATGAAACTATGGGCAAAAAACCCCACATAAAATGTTAGACAGTACTTGAAAAATTACAAAGAGTTAAAAAAGGAGCATCACTACAACTTTGTAGATTCATGATGTTCTCAGCTCTTAAATAACTGTAGTTCCAACTCTTTGGTCTCAAAAACTATTTTTTAAGATTAGAAAGGGTGCAAAAGAGAGTAGCCAAAATGATTAGTCATGGAAAAGCTTCTTTTTCAAGGTACATCTAAACGGATAAAACATCTTTGGCCTGCAAAAAGAGCAACTGTGAAACAGTGGTAGAGATGTAATAAAATTATGAATAGCATAGATAAGGAGAGTGGGAATCATCTCTTAAAAAAAGGAGAGATATCAAATGAAATGGTCACATAGAAAGCTTGAGCCATGCAAATGGAAACAGTTTTCCTACCCAGCAATAGCTAAGCTTTGGAACTCAGTGTGAGGATGTGGGGGAAGCTACAATTTGATAAACTTTGGAAGAAAAATCCATTCAAAGCTGTTGAACACAAGCATACTGCTTCAAACTCGGGATGTCCCTAAGTCAGAGTTAGGAGGGTATGGAGAGGAGTGTACCAGAGGTACACCCGTTTGCTCCATTTCTTGCTATCTTTTCTCTAACTTCTGCTGCAGGCCATTGATTCTTTGGTCTTCTCCAACACAGACACTCTTGTGTTTATGCATATGAATGTTTTGAGGGAATATCCAAATTCTGCTGTGACAGTCACATATATGTGAGTTAACATTGGCAGCTGCTAGTACTGATTGAACTGTAAATGTTTAAGGAAGAGCTGGCAGCTATTCCAAAAGAAGCCTGTCAAGGCAGAAGACTTATTTATTGCTACATAAACTACTGTAAACTACAGACTACTGTAAAGTATTCTCCGAAGAGTAAAATATTTTTAGGGTGCAGTGGAATGCAGTGAAAGATTCCTGTGAATCCCTGATGATTGTTTTACTATAGAGCTGAGAACGAAGAAACATCTGGGGGTAACTTTGTCTTTCTAAGTGCTTCAGTAATCCATAGGAAATGGCATGCCTGAATTGTTGATTTGGCAGAGAGAATTTTACCCTTCAGCTCCTTTTTTAAGGAGCTAAACATGTAAATGTTTAGCTCCACTCGTAATACTTTTCCTGTTTGACTCTCATGTGCTCCAGATCAACATGCTGGTGATCAACTTTGATGCTGAACTTCGCCTTTTGCGGCACAAGAAGATGAAGATGGATGTGCAGATGAAAAATGCCGACCTGCGCTGCATCACATGCTGTGAAGAGCTGCTTATCCTGAAGAAACTTGAGAAACATGAGGACTTTCTCCAGGAGCAAATTTACGCCCTCATCAGTGAAGAGGAGGCCATACAAGTAAATAGGCCACGTGTCTCTAGGTTTAACAGTACCATTAATGCACAGGTTGAAACAAAAGCAAGCCAAAAGTAAATGGTGGCATGCTTTTGCTTCATTTTAGCACTGACGCAGTGTCTAGTGCTAGATTTTGAAAACCAAGAAACTCTTGATGATCAACCTGGGATGGTCACTTTTAACTTCCAATACTTAATCTTTTCATAATCTTAATGGTTGCATTTTAATGGGTAGTTCATGATGTGGCATAAGTGACAAATCACATACTTTAAGAACATACTCCTAGGTGTTGCTTGATTGAACCATGGGTTTAAAGAGAGAAAGATGAGTTTTGCACATCCAGATCTTCACAGATGCATCATATACACATACACATGGGTGTACCTTTTAACTGAAGTAGGTTTTTTTGTTTCTTTAGCTGGAATTGAAGAGCTGCCTTGCACAAATGGAGGATAAAAAGTGTGAGATTTTAAAGCTTCGGGAATGTAAGAAAGCTCTTTATGCAAACTTCCAAGCATCCCTTGGAGAAGACAATGAATTTTCCCATTTTCTGACCAAGGTTCTGAAGAAGAAAATCGAGTGTGTGGAAAAAAAAGAAGTAGAAGGAGAAGCAGGTTGGAGATTCTGTTCTTTTCGTTTTATGGATTTATTACACGTATATCTGTGTGGTCAAGTAAATGTCTCTCACTCTATCTGGGGCCCTGAGTACGTGCAGCACTCAAGTCAGTTCAAAAACCCATAGATCAGATCTACCTGTATTTGTTTGTATACTGACAAGGTGTTCTATGGCAACCATCCTGAATGATAACAATGCTGTGATTCAGTTTCTAACACGACTACAGTTGGTCTGATCATAGGTCCTGCAGTTTACTTCCTGTAAGTCAATATTGATGACTGATAATTGGTAAAAAGAAGAGGCAAAGCTTTAAATAGGTACTTCCTATGCTGTACCAATGGGAGCTATGGATAAGTTATTAATCTGTCACATTTGTGACATTCTGCTTTAATCTGCCCATTGACTGATGAGAGATCATAAACCTAATCTGTTTAGTCACAGGACTAAACATATTACAAAAGGATTTAATTTGTCTTAGTGACTCATTTTACACTGTTAAGGCTAGGCAGCCGTACTGAGCTAAAATACTGACTTGGCTTTTGATTTCAAGTGGGACATGATTAGGAAAAAGTGCAGACAATGGTGATGCTTTTGTAATAGATTTGTGCCTCCATATTTTGCGTGGTTGATTAATCTGTGTAGTAGAATGATAAACCCACAAGTTTTAAATTCCTGGCATGTATAGAGAGGAAACATTATTGAAGTAAGTCCCAAAACTATGCCTGCACCTGTGCCTTTGCCATTACTAGGTGATCTCTCTCCCTCTTTCTTTTCCCCTCTTTTTTCTTTTCTATGAAATCATCAGATCAATGCAATAGGCACAAGGTGCCTGGATTCACCTATTACCAGGATGATCTTTCATGGATTATTGGGATTGTGTTCACCAGCACATTGGCATAATGCACAGCTGTGGGTCTGGAGGTGTTTTGCAGGCCAGCATTACTGTCTGTTTCTTTCAGATGAAGAAGATGAGAGTGAAGGGGAGGATGATGAAGAGTCTGACTTGAAACCTGATGAAGAAAATTCTGGATCTGAAGATGAAGTCTTTGATGACTCTGTTTGCCCGGATGGTACCTAAGCCATTATTTCCTTGCATTGACTAATTGTTTAGCTTTAGGGACAGTATTGTGTATTTAAAAAGAAAACACAGAATTTTTCATTATTCACTGCATATTAAAGCCATGAAGGGCTGGAATGTGTGTGCCCCTCCTGAGCGCAGCGTTTTTCCCCAGGAAATCTCAGTGAAGATAATGAAACAGCTGGTAGCATAGGGTACTCTAATTAAAAAGTTTGTAAAAATAAAACTTAGCTAAGCACTAAGAATTAATTATTTTGTGTGAAGAACCACTCACCATCACGGCTGTTTTGTGGAGAAAAAAGGCTCCTGTCAGGAGTGGAGCTGTAGCAAGGCTGTAGCTGCTCTCTGAAAACTCTTGCCTGGTCTAGCAGGATCCCTCCCTGTTCAGGGAAGTTCTGAGGCTCTACCATGCTGTTAATTGAAGCTCTTTGTTACCACCTCGTGGATTTATGCAGCAATTGCCTGTTGCTAGGCTGCGCTCTTAAGGGTATCTGAAAAGTTAGGAGCTTTACTTTGCAAAATCCTCTTCATTCATGCATTCAAAAAAGGCAAGAAACGTCTCCCCCACTTTTTCTTTTGTCCGAGTTTAACTAATTTAGGGTGTTGTTTTTTAAAAAAATCTTTGATTGATATGCCAATGACCATGTAACAACACTGCTTCATTTTTAAGTTAGAACTTACTAACAGTCCACCTTACTTTTTTTTTAATTGGATTTTAATATCATTTCCACAAATTGAATTTTTTATTAACTCCTCATTCATCTCATTTTTCAATGAAATGTTGTGAAGAAATGAATATTTTTACTTTTTATTTAAAAAGTCCAAATTGCTAATTTAATAGGGAAATTACATGTTGCATTAGCCTCTTCATACTTGTCTTTTCATGTGTCATTTTCTTTGCCATTACTGGACTCTGTTTTTTATTACTTTGCCTGCTGATTTGGGCATAATTATGCACTTGATTAGTATGACTGAAATCACAGTGTTAGACAGAAATTCACAGGTCTTCCTTACTATGAAACAAATGAAAGAGATCCTGTGAACCACAGCTTTGTTTACAAATAGAGCTACAACTGAATCCTACAGCAAATTCTTAATTTATAGAGAAGGGTGCTATGGATAAAAAACTATGTGTTCACATAATTGAACTGTAACATGTATTAATTACTGAGACTGCACTGCTTAAAAAAGCTAATTTTTGAGCACTTGGCTTTAATGTTGGCTTTGATGCATTTATCTGACTTCTGGAAACAAACTTACTGAATGTAAAGAAAAAAAGATCCATCCAAGACATTCACCACCTCATGGAAGAATGTGGCCCGTGGGATTTGAGAAAGCTCAAACATAAGAGCAAAACCCTGCTCTTATTAAGGGGAACACTGGGCAATGTGCACAGTAGGAGACACTACCAGCTCCAGCCAGTAACTATAGTGCAGTCATAATGGAACTAAGCTGTTCTTTGGCTCTTTCCTCCTCAGGCTGCGATGAGGCACTCTTCCTAAACACCCTCCAGCTCCGGCAGCAGCGGTTAGACATTGAGAAAGCTTTAGCAGAGGAGAAGAAAATTGCTGCTGGTCTCAGAAAGAAATATAATGCCTTGGCTGAAAAGGTATTGTAGTGTTTTCTCAGCAAACATCAGCATGCTCCACTGAAAATGTTGTGCTAGTGATTTTGGCTAAGATTTATAAACAGAATCCTAAACCTTTGAGAGGCCTCAGTTTGGGTGGAGGTATCTGTGGTAGAACAGAGGCAGGAGGCAGCTCAACATGGGTCACCTGTCCTCCTGAAAAGGGGGAATCAAGGTAGTCCAAGCTTAGCTTCTGTGAGGCTGGATCCAGGTTTTAGGTCCAGTCCCTTTCCAGCTGTTTAGCCATCATGCAGCAGCAGAAGCTGGATTCTCTGGATCAGAAGAAACACCTGGTGTAGCCTGGCCAATCCTCTGTGCAGGTGTAAGGGGATGGAGAGATTGAAGAATACTTATCCTAACACGAATGTAGGTTAAAATAAATGCATAAAACTGCTATTGTTCCATCTATTTCTTTTGCTTTTAGTTATTTTCTTTTGCTCTGTGTCACAGGTAATCACTGAATAAACTCTTTTGATGCAAATTTTCCTTTTAGCTTTCTTGAACTCCTGCATTCACTAAGACATTTGATTTATATTAATTCAAAAATATATTCATTTGAAGGGTTATCCAGGATAGAGAGAGTGCTACCAAAATAACATTATGCAAGTCCTTCTTTTATTGTGTCTCAAAAATGTTCCATCAAATATGCTTAACTTACAACATTTTTTGTTTAGTTTTTAAAGGCTTTCCTAAGTGCCAGCTGCCACATATTCACCCTGGGGTCTGACATTTGAGTCTGAATTGTTTCTTTCTCATGCAGAATCAATAAGCATTTCCAGGCATAACACAATAAAAATTATCTTGCAGGCTCTGTAGATCTACAAGTATTTTAGATGTTAAACAAAGCAGCTGTCTCTTGATATATACAGGGCCTCTCTAAGGAGACATTTACGGGTGCACATGTGTACAGATGTATTCAGGTTAGAATACTGCTTGAATATATAGATGAGCCTCGTGTTTGTCTATGAAACTCACCTATCATATATAATAAAAAAAAGAAAAAGAGCATTTTTTTCTATACTTCTTTTCCTTTAGATGAGGAACTCTAACAGAACCTTGCTACCTTGTATATTTTGAGTAGTACAGGATTTTGTTTATCCACAATTTGTCTTTCTGCAGGCAAAAGAAGTGGAAACCAGTCTGGACACAACAAAGAGGGATCTGGAGATCTTTCAGTGGGAAAAGCTGCAGAAACTGAATGAGCTAAATGTAGTTGTGCCTTTGAAACTCCATCAGGTAATTCAAGATGTTGTGCATCTGCAGGTGCAGAATGGCCTATGTACATCTAAACAATGGTGTTACTGTTCTTTGGGCCCCTTAGTTCCTGATTCACCATATTATCCTGGGAGTGAAGTGCCATTAATTGAACTTTATGCTGCTATTTCCTCTAGGATTCTTTTTTTTTCCTTCTCCTGGACTGACAGAAATGAGGTAAGGACAGGCAAGCTGGTCCATTGCTGAAATGTGCATAGTCTTCAGGTGCTTTATAGGTTTGGCATGGTATTTTCCTTCAGGTCCTTACCTACTGATATTCTCTTGGAAAAATAATCAAAACCCACCCTAAAAAAAAACCAAACCAAAAAAGCCCCAAAACTATTGAAACTCATGTGAGTTCTGCCCAATTCAATAATGTTGGATTGGATACACTGCATTCATTTATACAGCTGTGAGCACAGGGAAGATAGTAGAAAATTAAGAGGAAAACTCATGACAATACTGTTATTTTGTCTGGGCTGAATCATGTCCTCAGAGAAGATAGGCCTCTGCCTGTTAGTGCCTGTATACTTTTGAGGCAAGCTCAGCTCTCTCTATTTGTTCTATCTCCCATCATTAAAAGGATCATAATAAAGACAGGGGAGTCTAAGGCCTGGCTGTGCAATCCTGCAGCTCCCAGATAATTCAAAATTACAGCTGACAGGGAGTGCCTTACTCCCCCTTTGTTCCAGGAGCCATTGAAGGGTAGACAGCTTTATGTGTAGGCAGTCGTGATAGATCTAAGTGGTCTTTCAGCTTCACTGAGTGGTAACAATTCCCTGGCCCAAAACACGAGTTGTGCTCACACTTACTGTTACCTCCCTCCTTCGTTCTCTATTGCTCACACATTTGTTACCCAGAGAGATCACCAGCACCCTTAATAAGTAAAGTCACCTTAATAAGTAAAGTCAGCCTTGCTTATTTGTGGCTGCTTCTTGCAGGTGCAGTGCTTAGTTGATGGGGAGATGCCCAGTGACTTCTCCCAGGCTTTGGTATTTACCAGTCAGTCCTTGGAGTACCTGCAGAAGAGAGTTGTGGACTTACGTAATGAGAAGACAGTGCAAAGGGAGCATTATAAGAAGGCCCGGGAGAAACACAGGCAGCTTGTCCAGGACAAAAAGGAGATGGAGAAAGAGATTCGACGTGAGTAACAGAGACTCTGAACTACACAGCACGCTAATGCTCATTCCTTCCCCCTCACTGGGTGTGGGTAACTCGCCACGTGTCTGTCTCTATACTTGCACAGGCTGTGCAAAATAATTTGGGACCTTAATATAAGTAGAGTTGACTGAGGTGAGATGCTGGAAGTCTGGATACATGATTGCTATTTCTGGTTATAAACCAGAACTCCTAGGAAGAAAGTTGCTTCCCCAAAGCTATGTAAGCTTTTTTTGGCAATTTCCTCTTCTGTGTAACATCAGAAGAATGAAACAAGCCCTATTCAAAACACTTTCCCAAGAACTAAACCCAAAGCTGTGTCTAGCCCCACCAGACCTGCAGAAGCCCTATATAGCCTATGGTGTGGGAATGGCTTACTAGGACTGGCTTAGAGTGTAGCTTGATGAGCACACAGGTGTGATATGGGCAAGGACAAACAGCAATACTCAATTGTGAGCTCTGTGTGGGTTTGTGTGAATTATTTATTAAAAACAAATACCAAAGAGCTCAGAGAAAAAGCTGGGATAAGGCAGAAATTCTTATTAACCAACAGTGCCCCTCTGTTAGGACTGGAAGAGAAGTGCAATCAGCTGATGATGGAGAAGTTCGGTCGGCTGGTTGATTTTGAAGCAGTTCAAGCACACTCTGTTAACATACCCATGGAGGACATGAAAGTGAAAATAATGGAGAAAGAATATAAGCATTACCTGGAGCTTAAAAAATGGGAGGTAAGGAGGAGGAAAATGAGGAAGACGCATGTGTTATGATGATCTGTTAAGGCTTCATTTCCCTGGAGCTGCATAGTTACACTAAAATCTTTTGTGAACATGCTCATGTTTGATTATTTTTCACTTGTCATTAATAGACTATAATATCCATCATCTTTCCTACCTCTGCTCCAGTTGCTGATGCACATCCTATTTTCTCATGGATGTAGTTGATGATCTCATTTTACTTTCCTCAAATGCATTGTTCTGCTTCAGTCCCCATATGAAGTTCTTCCAGAGTGCTTTTCTTTGGTTCTCAGGTAGCATTCAGCACCTACTGCCTTCTCCCACCACCTTTAGTGGCAAACTGTTTGAGTACAGGGCAAGCCCTGGCTCATGCCTGGGATGCCAGTCTGTGCAGTCTGGAGAGTTCATGTCTCTATCTGGGGGAGCCTAAGGCTCAGCTACTGTTAGTGCAAGGAGGCAACATGCTTAAGCTGCCCTTACAGAAGGGCAAAGAAGGGTACAGGAGTACTATGTACCTAATGGCTTTCTCTTTCTCACAGTTTTGCCTAACTGCTTTACTTACTTAGGCATTTGCAATATATATATGTGTGTATGTATATATAAACATGACAGATTGCACTAAAGATACTGTGGGATGAGGTGGTGTGTGCAGGATCAGTCTGTTGTTTACATGTCTTCTGTGACACCTATGTTGTGCCTAGCACTTTTTCCTCACTTCACACTTTTCATCCTCTCTCATCCCTGCTCAATATTTTACATCTTTCCAGGAAAGAATCTTAGAACTGCAGCAGATGCTAATGAAGGTGACAAAGGAAAACACCACCAAGCTGCTGCAGCTGGACGAGTTTTGCCAGGAAAAGCATCAACTTGAAACTAAGCTGGATTCACTACCAAATGATCTGGTAAGCCTCTTAGCCACTGTACTACATGCAGGTTTGGGACTGTTCAGAAATGGGTAAGGGATCATCTGGCCCTCAGCAGCTGTCTGGTCTTGCACCCTGCTCTGCTGTTTGGGCTAATAGTGGGACAGGAAGAATGGCTGCTCCAGATCTTGTAGAAAGGGAGAGTAATGAGCTGATCCTGAAGAAGCCATACCTTGGCATTTCTGTAATTTCTTACTTAGCTGCTTTCTAAGACTGAAACAAATTCATCTTATTTCTAATTAAAATATGCCTTGCAGGAATTAAAATATATTCCTTTGTTACATGGAAATAGTCACGTAACAAAGTGTTCCAATGAAAAGGGGTTTCATTGCTCTGTACTAGGGAATAAGGCAGCCACCTGTGACAGCCTAAGTTAGTGGTCCCTCACTCTCAAGTTTCAAGTAGTTCTCACTAATGAATGGAGAAGTCATGGAGATATCCTGCTTCTTGGAAAGCTTCACTTCCCCCCCGTGAAATAAATTTCCACTGTTCATCCTCCCATGTTTTATAGGAGCCTTTTTTTTCCTCTCCTTACAGGGAGCAGAATTTCAGGGCACCCAAACTACAGACATGAAAGAGAGAGACAGGCTGGGGTCACGGCTCATGCGCACGGCTGATGACATAGCCCGCCTGAGAGAGGAGATCAATCTGGTCAGAAGAGGTGGGTACTGAAAAGAAGGACTCGCTTTTCTTGGCAGGAAAGGGGGCGTGCCTCTTTCTACAACCTTCACCTGTGAGACTCCAATTGAAGCACTCCTTGTTCTTACACCAGCAATGGTAACTAACAATCCAAGTTGCCCTTAAAATTAACTGTGGCAGCAGTCATGCCCAGAGTGAGAAATTGTTTTGGCTATACAGGCGTTAGTTGTAAAGGGTTACATTTGTTTCCTCTATCAAAATATGACTGCAGCAACAGATATGAAATAAAATAAATTGCAAATAAAACTACTAAGTACTGTTATCAGTCCATTGGAGAGACTTGCACTGGACAGGTGCCCTGTGTGTGTGTGCATTATGTTTGTCTGCTCTTCAAAGAAGTGGCTGTGGAAAGCTGGATCAGAGCTTCACATGGGCAAATACAGCTTTGGTACCTTGTGCTCAAAAATGGTAGAAGAGGTCTGCCTTAAGAGTGCATTTGTTATTGCTGAGCATCCCAGCAGGAATGGCAGTGCTCTGCTAACTGAGCTAGTAAAGGAAAGTGCTATTTACTGGGAGAAAGCAAGGGGGCTTTTTTTTTACTGGGGGCTTTTTTTGCTCAGGGCCTGTAGTGCTCAGAAGGGTATGGAGCAGTGGAAACCTGCAGTGCAGTGCAGGATGTGGCATTTACCTGGCATGAGGAGGGAACAGCAAATGTAAAGTCAGCCTGTAACTCCACTTGCACCTGCCTGATCAGAGTGAGAGAGCCAGGCTCAGTGTGTTTTCAGGTCTTACTATTTTTTGCCTCTTGCATTTAGTATGGTGGCAGCATGTGATCATTTACAGCACCTACCCTTACTGAGAAAACTTCCTTCACCCCCAGGGTGAAGGATTATGTTGCACAGGTCTTCCAGTGCAAGGCTTCTGAGAGTGCACGGGAACACTTGGGGGTTGTTGCTCATTTTTAATTGAATAGGTTGGACAACCTGTAGCTGCTCTTGCTGTTCCTCCCCCCTCCCTGCCTTTTGCCACTGGTCTTTGTGTCTCTGTCTGGTTCCTTTGTCTGGGGTCCCTTCTGGGAGGCACCCGCTTGAGCTGTTATGGTGTTGTTGCACCACAATTAAATTACTTTAAGGAACCAAACATCTGAGACTCTGCTTTGGGGAATCCAGGGTTGAGCCAGTAAGGGAAACTTGTCTGACAGTGTGAGTGAGGGGTGTGCAGAGAGTCAAGAGGGGCACCTGCTGCCTCACTGGAGCTGCCTACTGTGAAGGGGCTTCGGTCCCAGCAGTTAAAAGCCTTGGGTAGAGGGAGTGTGACTGCCAGAGTGGCTCCTGGATGGTCAGAGAGGAAAGTTTCCTTAACAGTCCCTTTGGAGGTGCTGAGAATCCCACATTTCCTTAAGGAAAAAAAATCACTCTTATCCACAGGCCTGCATGCTGAAAGTTCCTGAAACTGGAAAACCACAGGATAGGGGGTGGGGGTAAAGGAAACAAGACTGGCTGAGACTTGAGTGTCTGGTTGCCTCCCTCCATCACCAAACTCATGCAACTATCCTTGTAAATAAATGAAAATTTCCTCTAGCTGTGCTCCTTACTAGAAGTTTCATGTCACTTAACTGGCACAGGTAGCAGCTGTCCCTCTTCTGAGCTCAGCATTAAGGAGATTTCACCCTGGTGGCTATTTGAAAAACTCTAACTGCAGGAAAATGCCACCATTCCCCAGGTGTCCTGCTTGCTGGTCTGCAAGTAAAAAAAAAATAGGCTCATTCTGTGTGAGGAATTAGCATAAAGCCAGGCACAACAAAGACTAAAGCCTTTATTTGAGATGTTAAAGCGTGGTTTGTCTTTACAGATAGGTGGCTGCAGATGGCGTGTATGTGAAGGGTTGTTTAAGTTGATTAGGCAGAGTGTGTAACTCCAGTCCATTCACAGGAGTGTGTTCCCGGAACGAACCTTCCTGTAGGGGACAGGAGAAGACCTTTTGTGAAGCCCTCCCTGCAAGAGGGTGCTCGAACTTGGTGGTGGCAGCTCTGTTTGGACCCGTGTCCAGCAATGTCTCTTGTTCAGCTGCTGCAATCCTGTGCTCTGATGAACAGCCAGGGCCACGGAGAGCTGCTGCTTTGTTTCCTGGGTCCTCCTGTGACCTTGCTGAGGATGCCTTCTGTCTCCATAGCATTATAAAAGGCACATATACATCTATATACAAGTGCATAAATATATAAATAGGGGTGTTATACAAAAATAAATACCCTTTCTCTTTTTCTCTTTAGAATAAGTCTTTTGCAAAAGGCAGCTTGGTCCCTAGCTGGGGGGAGGGTGAGTCTCTAAAGGTCTCAGTGGTGACGGGCTGCTGTTCAGGTGTCTTGGTAGATCCTGACCCAAAGATGTGATCAGTGGATTCTGGGAATGGAGATCTCCTCTGGACTGGCAGCACTCTAGTCTTTCTACCTCTTCAACTGGCACTAGGCCTAGGCAGCAAGGGCTTCCTGAAAGGGAAAGGAGCAAGAAATAATTACAATGCATGATGAAATTAGAGATGACATGGGAGGTTTTTAGTTAAGAGTTCACTTTTTGAGGAGAGGTACTCTGATCAAAGAGGAACACGTGCATTCTGAAAGTCTATATGGGAATTCGATCCCATGACTGCACAAAACAATTCAGATCCATACTACAGGTGTGGATCAATGGATCACATCCTAGGGAGATGGATTCACGTAATTTGAACACGAGCAATCAGAAATGCTTTACAGTGAGATTTCCCTTCAAGATCAGCTTCAAATGATGAGATGAAGGAGACATGGACTTTTCCAAAGTGTTCCACCACTGACCTTGGTGGAACAAGGTGTCCCGTCGAGGATCCAGGCTAGGGCATCCCACTTTGCTTCCCATTACTGGATGATGGAGGCCAACAAAGTGCTCTTGAAGGTGAGGACAGTCATCTTGTTGCTGAAGAAGCTGGTGGGTGGAATCATCTGGTAGACTGTAGAGGAAAGAGCTGTCTTCTGTTCTTGAGCTGGGCAATCTGAGGAGGCAGGCAGAGAGGTGTGGTGCTGTTAACAGATCTTTCCTCCTTGAAAGAGATAACCTGTGTAACAGCCAGCTGCATCAACACAGTGACACACAGCATTCCCAAGTGAGGGGAAGAAATGGGAATCTACTTGTGAGACAGTAATGAGGTGATGGGACCTGGTATCCCTGATCCAAACAGCTAGTGAGTGCCACAGGAGCTGGGAGAAGTAGTGCCTCATAGGGAACATGGTAATAAAGACATCTGAACAGTGAGACACAAAGCACTCCCAGCTGGAACCCAGGCAGATTCTGAGGCAGCTGTTTATCAGTATTCAGTCATAGCTGCTTGCTTCTATCATTCTGCTTTTCAGTCTCCCATTTAGGAGTAGGAGGAGCAAAAGGGGACAGGGGAAGTAGGTCTGGGCCACCTTTACACACCTCTACAATTTAATTATTCCTCCCTGAAATCATGAGAGGAATGAGCTTTACAAGAGAATTTGGATCAAGAAAGCCTAGTGCTGGAGCATGGATTTGTTTCCCAAATGAGTTGGGACAAATGGGAGTGCATTGAGGGTAAGCTTTCGTGAGCATGTAGTCTTGTGGGTTCCATCCACCCCCTCCAAAAGCCAGGACTAACCTGGAGGGCTGGTAGTCTTGCTGGGCATTCCCATTTTGCAGCACTCTTGCCTGCAGCAAGGCGTTGGTCTCCTCGTGTGTCTGGAAGGACAGAGAAGGATTCTTGGAGCAATAGCACATTAAGAAGCAGGTGCTGTGATCTGGGAGTTGAAACCCTGGGGCAAATTGGTGAGGTTCTTATGGCAGAAGGCAGAAAAAGCTGAAACTGTTTATTTTGCTACAGAGGACAGTGAAACTGAGCACTGAAAAACTCACTTCACGCTTACTGCTGAATCAATGGGTGACAATAACCAATTTATAGTCTCTGCCAAGGCACTGCCTTGGCCTGTGTTACTCTTTACACACAGAGTCTTCAGCACTGTCAGTCCTTGTGAGCTTCGTTCAGGAGAAACAGGAACCTCCTCCATACCTAAGAGCCACTGCCCCAAGAAACCACCCGTTCACCAGTGTTTTGGAGACCTTCCTGTTCCCCCCATGTCTCAGACTGCACTGCAAAGAGGAAATCTCTTTTAAAAAGCCAGTGTTGTCAGTCCTACATGCTGCAGAGTGTGGCAGCCACGTCTGGAGAAGCCCTCCCACTGCAACCATGGCCTCCAGTTCATGTCAAACCAGCTCTTAACTACAGGTGTGGACATACCGGTGGCACTTCATCTGGGCTGTAATCTCGGGGCTTGGTGCTTGCATACCCCACTCCTGAGGAGGGGCAGATGCCATTCAAGTGTGCCCTGTTGGCGTAGGGCTGCCCATTAATGTAGGGGTGTCCACTGGCACGAGGAGCAGAGATGCCCCTCAGCGGCACCATGGTGTACTGGCAGGATGAGACCAGCAGCCCAGCTCCTGGAAAGCCCATGTCAATGGTTTGCTCTGCAGAGGGAAGAAAAGGGAAGTCTGAGGGAAAAATCAGAGGTAAGGTTGAGCTTCCTGAAGCTCAGCAGGGATAGCGTTAGGCTATCCTATCAGGAAGATGTTTTGGCACCCAAAGCACCCTTGGAGCCAAATGGTGTAAAGGGGCCCTACACAATTGCCAGTGCAGTTTCCCTTTGCCCCTAGTCCCCGAGGTTCCTTTTCAACAAGGTAAGCAGAACAAGGGACAAACAGTGGCCTTTGTCTTTATGGGGTTCCACAGAGCATCCAAGACCTGCCCTCTGCCCACCCTTTCCCTGCTTCCCAGAATGCAGAGCCCTCACATTTTGGGCGTTTGACCAACTACACCCAGGGTCAGATCTAATCCACAGACAAAGCATATTTTTTAAATTAGCCCTCAAGAAAGAACCCTTACTCTGCTTGGACCAGGCTCTCCAAAGGCAAAAGGGGATGAAAGCCACGATGAGGAGTACAATAGAGCCCAGCACGACGCCTACAATCAAGTATGGCAAGTCACTGGAACGGGCCACCATGGCTCCTGTCCCCAGGCCACTGTGCCCACCACTGAGTGGGGGATGCTGCTGGGGGGGCACTGTGGAGGGTGGAAGACGACCCGGCAGGCCAAGAGACTTCCGAGCTGTGAAGGGAAAAGAGAGTGAGCATTAGACACAGACATGGCAGATGGAATAGCAGCCTATTCCAGGGATTTCTGTGCTGCTGTGGAGTGGGCAGACTATGGTGGCTTTAAAGAAGCACCCCTGGATGACAGGATTTCCTAGGCTGATGCATATTGCAATACAGACAAGTCCTCTGTGCTTGGTTTACAACTTTGCCAGATCTGCTCGTGGACTGCTAAAGCAAAAGCAAAAATGAAAATAGCTTCTCCAAAACACACACTTGGGCTCAATGCTGTTCCTATCATGACAGTGCAGCTGCTTGGAAGACAACATTGGGACCTGCTTCTAACCCAACACAGGAGTTTGGCACAGTAAGAGAAAGGTAGTCCTTCTGGTTCAAGTCACCATCTAGGAACACAAAAGCTAACTACAACTCTGAAGGACAATGATGGACTCTGTGCAAGGGGTCTGTGAGTACTGCTGTGGGTACACACATACTGATCAACAGCATGAATGACCCTATGTCTCTCTTCTCCCCAGTGCTGCCTCCATCTCCTTGCCTGAGCTTGGATGACACACTGTCAGGCAGGGATGGTACCTCCTGTGCTGTCCTCTGACAGCTGCAGGCAGGGAAGGCAGCCTGCTGCACTCCCAGAGCTGCCCTGTGAAGCTGGTTACCTTTGGTTTCACAGATCATCACGTTGCTGAACTCGCTTTCGCCACCCTCATTGAAGCATTGCATCTTAATGTCATACGAGGTCTCTGGCTGCAGGTGGCTGATGGAGTGCCAGTACCGATCTCCTGAGGAGGGAACAAACACATGTGCCGTTAACTTCCTCAGGGAACACACAGCTGGCCCAGCTCTGCAGCAGTGCTAGGAAGAGTAGGCCCAGACAGCCACCACCTTTTGTGCACAGGGCTCCTTCTGGCTGCGTCATCTTCCAGAAGAAACCAACACCTGGGACCAGTCTCTCAATTTCTCCTACCTTCCACCACGTCCTTCTTGTAGTCACTGTCATTGTCACTGTCAGTGGGGCGGTAGTAGATGTAAAATCCATGAATGGGAGTGTTGTTGTTGCTGGCTGGGATATACTGCAGAGAATGGGAGGGAGAGCAGAAATTAGTAGAGATGTCTGTGCTCCATAGTGCTCTAGGTGAGAAGCAGTTTGGATAAGTGGGATGGGACAGGAAGAAAACCTAGCAGAGGGATCTTCCTTGTGTTGCACAGTAGGGGTTTCTTTACAAGAGCTCAGTGCTATTTTATACTCTCACACTTTGCTTCTCTCAGATAACAGACAAGCCATGAGTCTGGGCCTGTCACCCCAAGCATCCAGTGCTCTGCTTGCTCTCAGCAGCCACAGCCAATGATTCAGAGAAAAAATTCCTAAACAACAGTGACTCAGCTGGGAATGGGTAAACACACCTTCATCTTGACTCCAGTAGGCTCATAGCTTCCAGAAAAACTACATTTTGCCACAAACTGGTGACCACAGTAGTTTTGTGTTTCTGAAGAAGACAGCTCTCTTCCTCTCCCACACCCAGGGCAGTACTGTCCCTGCTTCACACGTTCTTGCTGTCTTTCACGCAGTATTTTATCAGCTACTGTTTGTGTTCAAATGAACTGCAGTGCCCATCCTGCCCTGTAGCAATTTCTGGCTAGAAGCAACTAGGAGAGAATATATCCCTCTGAATAAGCTCTAAGCTGTTGAAAACACTTGGAACTAGCTTGTGATCCAAAAGATCCTGCCCACTCCTAAAAATCCTCTGGGGTGGACTGCTGTAAATGATTTTTAGCACTTAGGACTGCTATCCAGCAAGTCAGAGTGAAGGACATATCTGCTGGAAACTACTAGCACAGACAGAGGTGCTAATGGATTCCAGGAATTTGGCCAGGAGAGCAAGCAGCCACCCCGTGCATTGTTGAACTGTGCTTGTTGATCAAAATGGTCAAGACACTGAGGTTATCCACTGAAATCTTCCTGTATACAATGTTGAATTCAAGGGACTTCCTGCCCTTCTATGCAGCCCAAACCCAGCCCTCATTTGGTGGAGGCAGCTATTGGATCCCTGATCTATTTGTGCTGGTGACAGGCTTCACT